TGGTATCCCAGAATTCTTTGCATGCCACTGCACAGCTGCACATTTCAGGTGAGAGGCCGGACTCGCTGGGAGACACAGCGCGTCTTTAAAGAAAATAAAAGAAATCTAAAAACACAGACAGTCAGCTCAGGCTCCATAAGCACATGAACTCTTAACTTACTAAAATCTACACCTGCAAACCAAACGTTATAGTTTTCAGAAAAGAACTGATCCACTCTGCCACCACAATCAAAAACATTAGAAAGCTGCCAAAACTACATCAGAGTATCAGGGCCACATTGATTTTTTTTTTTTTAAAGACTTGGAGATTAAAGTTGTAAACTAAGGAGAATAAAGTCATAAAGTAAAATCAAGTCATAAAGCTGCTTTGGTAGAGGGGGAAATGGCTGGAGCTGGTCAACTGCAGGGTTATCGGTGGATGCATCAGCGGTCCATTCAGACAGCTTTTGTGGTTTTTCAAGAAACAATTCAACTGGTGATCAACATTTGTGATCCAGAGGGAGTCCAGCTCCGACGAGCACCGCGTCTCTGACACCGGCAGTTACCTACACCTGCAGAGATACCAACACCTTATTAAAGCATATATCAGAGGATATATCCTCTGCATATCCATTTCTGCCTGCACAAAAGCAGCGATTTCCTCCAAGTACACCTGTTTTTTTTTTTTTCATGGAAAAGACTCATTTCTCATATATTCTTTTTAAAGTCCTTATACTTATGACAATGTAATGCTGATGTGCCAAAGGATGAAGTATCTCCTTGTTTGTGAAATCTATACTGAAGCACAATTACTTCAAAAGCTTTGTGGCCCTAATTCTAATAACTCTCCTTTGAAATAACAGGTAACCTTACGACATTGTTCTCTTAAATTAATGACTTTAATCTCGAAGTCTTTAAAAAAATTCTCTATATGGCCCTCATACTCCATACAAAACATGCAATCATCAGATGAATTTTGTGGAAATGATCTGTGCTTGTATGTATCTATTGTTTTGTGTCTGCAATGTCGCGCAATTAAAAAATAAATGCTGCGCTCCGCGGCTTCTCTTCAACTCAGTCGTGACGCGAGCCTGAGGGCGGGGACATTTGGTGACTCAACCAGGAAGTCCTCCGAAGGGTAGACCGTCCCAATTCACAAAAGCCGGACCATCTCACCCAGGGTACTCAATTCCACATACAGCAGTGCACTCAGCTAAGCGTGCTTGAGCACACTCAGCTGTTTGCAGTCTCTGAATTGAGACACAGCCAATGTTATCTAAGGTCATGCACGGACTATCAAATACCAATTTATAGGTTCTGAGATTTTGTCTTCAGATAAGAAGTCTCTCCAAGCACACAACACTACCATGCAAGAGGCATGAGTCTTTATTACTGCTGTAAAATGATTAGAATTTTTAATCAGATCACAGAGTTGCTGTGGATTCATTTAGAATAATTACAATTGAATATCAATTTTTACAATCAATATTTTATTTCTTTTTCAAAATGAAAACAAAACACTTGTGCACCACTTATACAACATGAATCAGCATGTTAAAAAGGGTGTGTGTGTGTGTGTGTGTGTGTGTGTGTGTGTGTGTGTGTGTGTGTGAGTGTGTGTATTTTATTTTTTTTTATTATTATTTTTTTATTTTTTTATTTTATTTAGAAGGGACAGCGCATATTAATGAACACATAAATGTAAATATGCCAGAATTAGCCAAAGGCTACTTTTCATCTGTAGTCCCTGGCAGGTCAAAAGAAATAACATTAATAACGATACAAGGAGAAAATTAAACTGACACACATCAATGCACCAATGACAAAAAAAAAAACAAAAAAAAAAAACACACACACACCAAGAAAGCTTAAAGCTTGATTTGATTTAAAGATTAGTGCTGACAGATCTGCTTGTTTTTCAGCCACTTCTTTAGATTAACTTTAAAAGTGTTAAAGGTGGTACAGCCTCTTATTGGAGATGGAATCTCGTTCTAGACCTCCGTACCTCTGACTGATAACACCTGCTTACTGAAGGTTGTTTGTCTGTGTGGCACTGCGCAGTCACTTCTACTGGAGGCTCTGGTTGTTCTCCCACTGGTGCAGGACCTGAACATGATGAATTCACCCAGAGGTGGTGGAGCAAGTCCATGCAAGATCTTACATATGGAGCAAGCAAACTTTTTAAAATTATCAAAACTTAAAATGTCGTGTTGTGTAATGTTTTTGCAGGATAGGGCAGTGATGGGTGAGAAATGGTTTCCTATCCAATACTTTTACAGCTTTTTTGAAGAGAGATTCTATTGGTTTTAGTGTGCTTGGGCTTGTCAGTGACCAGTTGGTGATGCAGTATTCTATGTGGGAGAAAATCATACAGTGCAGAAACATTTTTGCAGCCCTCTCTGTGAGTGACGATCTGATATGTCTAAAATTGTTGAGATTGAAATTCACTGTATTACGTATGTATTAGTTTGAGTCAAGGGTGACACAAAGATATTTAAATTCATGTACAAGCAGGAGCTCCTCACCCTTTACAAATATATTTGAACTTAACCGCACTTTTGGACGCTTTGAGAATACCATACAGTTTTTTTGGAATTTAGAAGAAGACATGAATTGGTGAGCCACTTGTCCACTGAGTTTATTGCAGGTGTCAATTTTCCTGATACTTCTTCATCCGACGTTGCTTTTGTGAAAATTACAGCATCATCTGCATAGAGCTGTGTGTCAACATTTTGGCAGATATTTGGCAAATCGTTAATATATAAGGAAAATAAAATAGGCCCAAGTATGGAACCTTGAGGAACTCCAACTTGACTGTCAATATAGGGGGATTTGACACCACTGACAGATACACAATTTGTTCAATTAGACAGATATGATTTAATCCAGAGAATAGCTTGCTTTGAAAAATTGAATTTTATTAGCCTTGACAACAAAATTTTGTGGTCTACAGTGTCAAATGCCCTTTTCAGATCGAGAAAAACGGCACCTACAAGGGGACCAGAATCTAAATAATATTTAACTTTTTCCAGAAAAAGATTTATTGCAGTTTCTGTTGAGTGATTCGAACGAAAACCAAACTGCATAGAGTGAAGAGGATTTCCGGCAGTATTAGTGGTTTATCAATTGTTTAGCAATCCATTTCTCAATCATTTTTGAAATTACGAGTAAAATACTTATAGGCCAGTAATTCCTACCATCCAGTTTGTTTCCAGATTTAAGAATGGGAGTAATCGTGGCAATTTTCCATGCCATGGGAACAACAGAGTTTCTAATTGACAGATTGATCATATGCGTTATTGGGCATATTAATGAGTCTTTGTGTGTCTTAAGGAAATTGGTGTCTAGACCATATACATCTTTAGCTTTAGACAGTTTTAATTCATTTATAATAGAGACTACATCAGACTCATTTATTTCTGCTATTGTGAACAGAGGCAAGGACTTATTTACAGAGTAAGGTATAATTTCCTGTGGAGAAAAAAGTTGTGAGATTTCCAAAACTGAATTTTTAAAAAAGGTATTAAATTCAGTTGCCACAACAAGAGGATCTTTCACCAATTGATTATTAATTTGTAATTCTAATTCCATGCCTTTATTTATCTTACCCGTCATTTTATCCATTGTTTGCCAAATTCTTTTGCTGTTACCTTTGTTGGACTCAATCATTGACATGTAAAAGTTTGCCTTGGCTTTGTGCAGTAATTGAATTACTCTATTTCGCATTGATGTAAAGCAGTGTCTGTCAGAAACAAGACCAGTTTTAAGAGATTTTTTTAGTAATTGGTCCCTAGTTTTCATTAGGGCCCTGCATTCGTCATTGAGCCATGGCAAATCACTTTTACTGACCTGATTTGTCTTTATTCTTTTTGTAAATAGAGCAGTTACATTTTTTATTTTGGTGTAGAAGTTAATACTGTTTGTTGAAATATCATCACATGAGACAATTTCATTCCAATCAATCTCCTGTATAGCTCTAGCCAGATTGTGATGTTTGTTTTCGGGACTACTTCATGAAAAGAGGTAACATCTGAATTTCTACAAGACATGTGAGTTCGCATTTTGCTCAATTTCCTCAATTATGGTCAGAAAGGCCAGTTAAAAAATTGTAAGTTTTCAAGATTCTTTCGGACTTATTTGCAAATACTAAATCTATTCTTGTTTTAGACTGGTTAGTTATACGAGTGGGGTTTTCAATTAATTGGACCATGTTAAAAAGGTTTGTTATTTGTTTTAATTTGCTTCTTTCTTTCTTGTTATCCCAGTTAATGTTAAAATCGCCCATCAAGATCACCTCTTTACTGGAACTGCAGAGGTTTAGAAGCATTTTTAGTTGGTCATAAAAATCAATCTTTGATGATGGTTTCCTATAAATACAGATAACAGTAAAATTCATTTCCTTTGAGAGGACAATATTTATTCCCACACATTCAAGTGTGATGTCCTCAGGCCATACAATTTGTGAGCATTGAAGGGTATCTCTCACATAAACAAGAACCCCCCCCCTCCTTTGCCCTCACCTCTGTCCTTCCTGAATACACTGTAACCCGTCATATGTATAGCAGCCTTAGGTGAAGAACTTGTCAGCCATGTTTCTGTTAACCCAATAAAATCTATGTTGGACTGAATTATTAAGTGCTCAAGTTGTTCTCGCTTTGGAATCATGCTTCTTATATTCAAATGACCTCCGAGTAACCCTTTGGGTTTTAAATGTGGGTCCCAGATAGTCCTTGCTTGATTAAGTGTCTGAAAAATTTATGTTGTACGGTGTTTCTTCATAATTGGATTTCTCATTTTTGTCTTTATATTTGGCTGCTGGGACTCAGCTGGCAGTGGTTGAGGCCCGGCCAGCTGTGGTGGAGGCCTTGCTGGTGGTAGTTGAGGCCCAGCTGGCGGTAGATGAGGCCCTATTGGCGGTGGTAGAGGCCCTGTTAGCAGTGGTAGAGGCCTTGCTGGTGGTAGTTGAGGCCCAGCCGGCGGTAGATGAGGCCCTGTTGGCAGTGGTAGGAGGCCGGCTAGCGATGGTCGAGGCCCAGCTAGCTGTGATTGAGGCCCTGCTAGCGGTGGTTGAGGCCCCGTTGGCGGTGGTAGAGGCCCTGTTAGCTGTGGTTGAGTCCCTGCTAGCTGGGGTTGAAGTCTGGCTAGCGGTGGGTGGGGCCCGGCTAGCCCTTGTTGAGGCCCTGCTAGCAGTGGTTGGAGCCCAGCTAGCTGTGATTGGAGCCCGGCCAGAAGTGGTTGAGGCCCAGGTAGCAGTAATTGTGGCCCAGCTAGCTGTAGATGAGGCCCAGTTAGCCAAAGATGAGGCCCAGCTACCCATGGTTGGGGCTCTGTTAGTGGTGGTTGATGAGGTCCAGGTAGCATCCCGGGTAGCAGTGGGAGCAACCAAGCAGGGGGCCAGGCCATCATTGGATGAGACCCAGTGAAATTAGCCCAGGCTGCAGTGGTTGGTGTCCAGGTAGCAGTAGCTCCATTAACAATGGATGTAGCCTAACATCCAGATGGTTTATGTTCTGCTGTCATGGTCCTGGGTTTCTTTCAACATCCCCAGCAAGAAGCAGGATCAACAGAAGGTGTACAACTCCCAAGAGAGGTTTAGGAGACTGTGGCGGTTCATGTTTACCAGGGGGTGGCCTAGCATGTCCCTCATCCAGTAGTCTTGTGAAAAGGAGATGTTGGCTCACCTTTTCTGGATAGAGGACTTGGTCGTTGTTTTGATCCTTTTTTCGTGGAAATGTTAGGCTCAGCAGCAAAAAGAGAATTAGAAAGACAAGTAACAAATAAGATGATGGCAATAGCCGTAGTCCTTTGATGTTTTTGAAGCGCTTTTGTAATGCTTTTGTGACAGACACACAGGACCTGCCATGCTGTGTATCTGCCTCGGCGGCCATCTTGCTTTTTCACAGATTTCATATAACCTATATTTTCCAAACATTCTTTGATAAAGTTCCAGTGTCCCTTCATCTCCACTGTCAAAATCAGAGAGGGCTGAGGCTAACTGTTTCATTGACAATAAATCCATAAATTCTTTAGACCAATTGTCAATGAACTTGGTTTACGTATTTTCCAATAATATTTTCTTATACATTTAGACGCGCTGTTATGATTTTGACAACAGTCTCCCACTGAACAGAGGTCAGGGATATGCCTCTCACCCATTCAGGTTTGACGGAAGATAAGCTGTCCAAGGAGGCAGTGGGAAAACAAACTATATGGATTAGTACAGAAACAGCCCTCTTAAAAATCACCAATGACCTCCTCATAGCAGCAGACTCCAGTTTACTTTCCATCCTCATCCTCCCTGATCTCAAATCCTTCACATCTTAGCTTTCCCCTGTCACTTCAGGTGTCCCCTAGGGCTCTGTCCTAGGGCCCCTCCTTTTCATCATGTACCTACTTCCCCTTGGCATTATTTTCCATAAGTTCGACATCCACTTTTACTGTATCACGGATGACACCCAGGTCTCTCCAGCAAACCTAACTCCTCACTTCCACCCCCCTCCCTCACCAACTGCCTATCTGAAATCAAATCCTGGTTCACCTCAAACTTCCTTAAATTAAATAGTGATAAAACAGAAGTCCTCCTCGTTGGCACCAAATCCATGAGAAAAAGTGAGTTTTTAACTCATTAGAAGGCACCATTTCACCATCCCTCATTATCTGCTTTAATTGGTTTGTTCCTTCAAGTTGCCATGCTTCCCATGCTATTTGTATTGAAGGCACTTAACCTATATTAATAGTTATGAACTTACCTATTACCTCATTAATCAAGAACACAAACTCTTTGTCTTACAGTAAAGAATTGTTACATCTCCATTGCTTACTTTTATGGTTATTTACAGAAAGACAGAGGAGAACAGCTGAGGGGCTGTAGTCTGAAATAATCATATTGACTATTTTGCTGTCAATCGAATTCTCCACCACAGATTGTGATAAAAGTAAATGAGCAAGCCTTGAGGATGAGTTATAAGCATGAGAATAAAATGTATATTCCCAGGCTGTGGGATTTACAACATGCCATATATCATTCAATGCCAAGGATTCCTTTAATTCATTAAGCACTGCTGATGGCGCACCATCAGACGGAAGTGGCTGGCTAGACCTGTCCACAACTGGATCACTGACCAAGCTAAGTCTGAGTCTGCAGCAAATTGAGACAGAGTCACATTCAATCTGGAAAGAAATTCAGCTTAAGCTATATTTGGAGCAAAGGCATTTATGAGAGTGCACTTTACATTTTGTGAAAAACCTGATTTGATGATATACATGCCATCTTAATCATCTATTTCTTGAAAGAACCTAAAAGCTGTATGCTTTCCTCAATTCTTTTTAATCTATACTAATTGTTTTTCATTTTGCATGAGCAAAGAGACTGTAGAAAGCCAAAGCTAAAGAATCCCTTATTAATGTATGCTTGGCATTGATGTGGTATTTTAAGCTGGAAGTGCTTCAGTGAAAAGAAAACTCCACATAGTGAGCTCGCACCAACCATAGTCAATAGAAAACAGGCACTATGCCCATTTTTTGAGCACCCTATCATTGCAAAAACCGGCACATAATGAAACTAAATCATGTAGGATTTCCCTACACAAGTGAGATTAAAAACATATAATTTTGAATTTTTAATGTGTGATAGCATCTTGTATAATAAATGCGACTCTGACGTTTGTAACAAACCAAACCATGTAAAAATCCGGTAAAGTTCTGATTCATATAGTTGGGCATTCCTACCTTCCCCAGTAGAAATAAATGTGCTTGGGGCACTTATAGGACCTATCCAAGATGGTGGCCACGCTGATACGTCAGCTCCAATAGTCAGTGTCAGTCTATGAGGTTTCTACACATATTATGCCTATAGTTTGGAGCCTGTCTCCAACTGATTAACTGCCCATTTGCGCATGCGTGATGGTAACAATACTTGGACAACCCATCTGAAATGCATCGCCAGAGACGTTTAAGGGATTTTGAGTGAATCTGTGCTGCGGATGGGTTAATCATGATGATTAATCTGTGTTGATATGTTCATTTTGACAGCCCTAGTCTTTATTAATGAGCCAGAAAACCATGACCCTATTAAAAACCATGACCATCTATTAAATACATGAACCTGATAGGCCAAAATCCCCTAACAAAGGTGATTTATTTTTAGCAGCAACAGCAACACCAGGAAAAAATCTGTTTACCCTCGGATTAATTTTGCCTGAGAAGACTCTGATCAGTTGGCATCTGTAGTTAGATGCTTCAGATGTTTTATCAGTCTGTGGTGTCTACAGTGTTCTGTTCTATGCTGCAGTCTGCTAGGGAGGAAGTATCAAACACAAGGATGTCAGACATCTGAAAAAACTGGTAAAAAAGGCTGGCTCTGTGGTTGGATTCATGTTGGACTCAGTGGAGGATGTGGCAGAGAGATGTACACTGAGGAAGGTGGAGATGCACCTTAATGGACCAAAGGGCCAATGGTGGTGGACGACTTCTTTCTCTTCTCTGCAGGACAAAAAGATTCAGAAGATCTTTTGTGCTCACAGCCATCAGACTTTACAACTCTTCTGTAAATAGTAGATGAGATGAGACATTTGCCTACAAACAAATGAGTTTCCCTTCCAGGATCAATAAACTTCTCTTTCTTATCTTATCTAATCTTATCTCACCAGTGTGGCCAAAACCAATGAAAAGACAGTGTGGCACACTTCTTTCCTTTTGTTGGTGTACGTTATCACACATTTAAACCTGGTGAAGGTCTTTTAGACAGGAACGTGTGTCATTAAACATATCTGCAATACTGACAGGGTGTGTCAGAGTTACTTCTCATTGTTGCACAAGTAAACATAATGTGCCTACACCACTGAGATGCAGTGATCAGAGAATGGGATATTAGTAGGTGTCATTTATAAAGATATTTCATTGAGCATGTTTTTCTGTGTGTGTGTGTGTGTTAACACTGTGTTATAAATATTATTAAAAAGGGATAAGGCTTATAACCATAGACTGCAGACACTATGGACAACTTGGGTCCGCCTTCCCTTGTTATATGAATTTGAAGCCAAAAAGCTCTCTGTATTTCTGTTTTTTTTTCTCCATTTCCTGAAACCATCATTGCGCAGTAGCATTGTTCACTTTTGGTGGGAGAGTCGCAGAGTTGCTTTGATGAAGCTTGGCTCAAACAGCGTATCCCCTGAGTGAGCTAAGCAATCTTCGCACGCCCATAGGCTGTATCAAGTGTCCATCATAGAAAACATGAACCCCCTAATAACTTTTGAGAATGGTGCTATACAGAAAAAAGAGGACTTGAGCACAAACCCGTCTTACAATAACTACATGTCAACATGGCAACCGGGGGGAGAAAAAATTATATCCTGTGTAATTAACTTCTAAAGTTTGTCCACAGCTCCATAGGGATTGCTAGAGGAGGTGGAATTGATGACCTATACTGCAGCCTGTCACCAGAGGGTGCTGTTCTCGCAGTGGCTTCACCCAGCGAGGAGGCAGACAGCATCCATTTTATATGTTTATGCTTATAACCAAGATACTCCAGTCCATGTTATGAAAAATGTCATTTCAGAGATACTCACCATCATGTTTTAAGTTAAGGCTCTTCAGAGAACCTGTTGCTCTTTCCTGCAGCCAGCCAGAAACAAACAGCTGAGATCCCCAAAGTTCTGTCAACCTTTCTGTGGGTTCCTGCCAGTTTTTACTTAACTATTTAAGCTTAATAATGACAGTTTGGTTACATAATCCAGCTGTGTAAAACTTTTTGTTCTTAAATGTTATATAATGATGCATTTATAATGTCTGACTGATTTTGCATTGTTTGGCTTAGACTTTCTCAGAACAACAGTGTGTCATTCAGAGAGACAAGTCCTGACACAGTCTCTGCTCAAGTAATGTGTTCAGAGGGAATGCTGCAAGACTGCATTCTTACTGCAATGTTGTGCAGAGCAGAGGCACAGCAAAGTCAGAGTGATACTGTCGAAAGCTTCAACACTGCTGGATACACAAAATCTCTGCAGAGGAGCTCCATCTCATTCACTTTTCTTCAGCAAGATAATCATACCATTCAGTGTCAACACCAACAACTAGAATAGAATAGAATAGAATAGAATATTCCTTTATTGATCCCCCATGGGGGAAATTTTTTTGTCACAGCAGCATCACAGACAAAGAGTGCAAAAATGCAGTTATAAAAATAAAGATTGTTATATTAAGAACCTAAATAAATGTAATAATTAAGAAAAATTTTAGGAAAAGAAAAAAGGGAGAAGAAAACTAAAACTATATACAATATCCACAATTTAAGTACAGGGGAAAAAAAGTGGTGGTGGGAGTCCAGTTTTATTACAGTTCGTTGTAAAGTCATTGCAGAAGGGAGGAATGACCTGCGGTAGCGCAGAGTCACTAAGCTGAGTGACTAAGCTGTCACTCTGAGCATTCCTAGAGAAACTTAAACATCGTAACTCTATCTTCATCAAATCTGCAAGAGCATTGGCCAGGACATGTTGACTGAACTAAACCTGTAACATAAAACGATTGTCAGCTTCTTTGAACTTTAACATAAGACTCTGTAGTTGTATGAGTCAAATCAAACATAGATTTTCTCACAATAATATCTTAACTATAACCTTAATGCAAACACATGCTTCCTTTTTCATCTGACGCCTATTGTCTACCTGTGACACAATCAGTCAGTCTCCCTTCGATTGACTTCACTCCTACTTTAATTACAGCCAAACATTTCTGGGTGGAGCTCATCAAGTTCATTACCCAAAATAACTGATCGGCTCCAAATCAAAGCATCAAAGGAAAACTGTGTCATCTGTAACCAGAGCTATGAATTCAGTCTTTACCTCTGTTAAATATCTTATTATTGAACTTATATTTTCTATGAACCACTACACCATCTGTTCATGCAGCCTGGTGATATAACAAAATCATACTTGGGAAAATGTAGAGCAGATCATTCAGATTACAACCATGCTGCCACCGTCTCTTCACCTGTCCTTAAAAGGTATTGTGCCCTGGTTTGAGTTATCACTAGGTGTCAAGGTTAAGGCAGCCACTCGCCCTTGTGCAATAAATCAGGCTGGCTGAAATTGCAACTAAAGCATGCCAGGTATCTGGATTAGCTCAGGTATTCAGCCCAACAGCAACTTAGAGGAATGACTAATGTGATAAAATTCACTGCAGACATTCATTTTCTCTTTTAACACCTTGACACTACAGTAGCCATTACTGACAACAAAACAAAGAGCAAATCTAACTTTTATACGGCTGTTGTGGGATTTTTTGACTGGGATAACATTAAAGGCAAAGTAGGTAAGACATATTGTGTTGTGGGCTGATAGTAATATAAATTATAATCCCTTTAAGGTTGTAAATCCAGAGGTTTTTTAAGAAGTCTTGCCCACAAGGGGAGTCTTATCCACAAGTTTCTGCGATTGTGTTTATATCCAGTTTTCAGACTGGAAATCTAATCCCCCTCACTTTTGCATGTTAAAAAAAAAAACATCTATCTATTGCTACAGTCCCACTGAAAATGGACTTTTAAAACACATGTGAACATGCTCCACAGTTTGGCTTTGACTCAGGGGTGCAGCAACAAAAAGATTGGGTATCCAGGGTTTCCAAGGGACAGCAGATAAAATATAGATTTAACCAACTCTGGTCCAACACATCTGATGGTAAAATTAATATTTGACATTAATAATAATAATAATAATAATAATGCATCAGATTTCATATAGTGCTTTATCAGAGACCCTCAAAGCGCTTTACATTGGATACATCATTCATTCGCTCACACAGTCACACTTTGGTGGTGGTGGAAACGTGGCTGCCATTCTGCGCCTACGGCCTCTCCGACCACCACCACACAACACTCACAATCATGCACCAGTGGAGGACACACACTGGGAGCAAGGTGGGTTAAGTGTCTTGCCCAAGGACACAATGGACAGACTTGGATTAGATTGCACATGGTTCCTTTAAAATAAATAAATAGATATCAGTCACCAAATCAAGCCATAGTCCAAGCTTGACTAACCTGTGCGTGTAAACCTGTTGACTATGAATCTTTAGCTTATCTCACACCTTCCCTGCTGTAAGGTTTACAAGGATAAGAAAGTAACAGTATAGAAATACTCAATTTTCTGCTTCTGTTGTGGTCGGATATAAAGACGCATCACTATCAATGTCAGTGTGTTTCAGAGCCATTTGAAAACTCCTTTGAAAGCTTTGGTCACTTCTTTTTGTTTACCCAATTCTTTGTTGAAAGGTCAGTTGGACTTGTTTGGGGTTCTTAGAGATCTTCCTCCTCTCTTCCAAAAGGCTTCTTCAGTTCTAAAGTGACTGGGAACAAAGTTGGAAATTTATAGCCTCTGTTGATCCTCTAGCTGTAAAAGGGTTGGGTGGTCACCTGAGAGTCGTTCACAGCTGGTTTACTGGAGATGGTAGCGTTGTTGGTTACACCTAAGGGGGTGCCCTCCTGGGTTTCTTCAAGTTTTTATGCTTGCATGATGTTGGAGCCTGTGATCCAGCATGAGAGCAGTGTTTCGATCGTTGTCGAAAAGAATCCAAAGCTGAATTGTAAGTGGGGGATAAAAAGTGCCTTAGTCTACTGCCTCTGTTCAAGGATGGTTTCTCCAATCTAGGAAAGATGCCCCCGCCCCACCTCCAAGTGAAATCAGGTCAACCACCCTGCTATCTCCAATAAACCAACAAAGAATTGGATAACCATGACATGGGTAAGTGAGAACCTTTTTGTTTAAGTGGGTTTTTCCTGAAGTTCTGGATACCCCCCAACACATCTGTAAAATCTGTTTTCTTTTCTTCCTGAGTAAAACTGGGGCCTTTGTTAACCATTTGGAAATTTTCATTAAAAATATTAATATCTTTTCATAAGAAGCATTAATAAGGTGATATGATGCGACTCTAACACAGTATGTTTCAGTTTATAGAGCAGAAACAAAAAAAATGGCTAAATTATGGCTAAAACCATTAAAGTAAACAGCATTTCACTAAAAGTAAAATATCTGATTAAAAATTCTCAAAAAATACAAAAATTGCATTTAATAGATTAATTTGAAAGGTTTTTCCAAATGATTGTCATTCCAGAGGAAAATTTAATTGTCTGAGTTCCCATGTCTTAAGTTCTATGTCATCTATTATTTACGTTCTGTCCTGCATTGAAGTTAGAAGAGCAGTCCACCACCATTGGCCCTTTAGTTCATCAAGGTGTTATGAAGTGGGTGATCCATGTTCTTCAAATTGCCTGTCATGGAAAGGGAAGTGTCTGATCTGAAATATTTGCAGTCCATTCAGAGGAGAGCACATGTCCACGTAAAGACAAACAGATTTACAGACCCAGGGTGTATTCCATGAAGCTAGCTAAAGAAAGCTGGGCTATCACCAGTAAACGTGGCTTGAATAAGCAGCCACTTTAATCTTAGCTGCAACTCGTTCCACTAACGAGGCTCCGCGGTTTTTCATCAACGCTTATTCTAGCCAGGCTGATCCAAGCAGCGCCTATGCCCGCCTCCGCGGTACATAAAAAGCCCCGACGCATCCATTGTTGAAATGACGAGATCATGGGAAAAAAAAGGGCAGAGCAGAGTCTTTCTCAGCGGCGGAGCAAACACTCCTCATGGAGTTGTACGAAGAGTACAAGGGAAAAATTCAAAAGAAGGGCAACACTGTTGGCATTGTGAAAGCCAGGGAGATGGCGTGGCAAAGTATCACGGACCGTTTAAATTCGTAAGTTATTGTAAGAGGCCGAGAGTGTGTGGACCCAAAAGCAGAGGACGTGAGGCAGTGGTTCAGTTCCCAAAAAGGCAAACTCTTTTATTCCAACAAAAAACCCGGCAGGGTCAAAATCAGAGCAGCAAATAATCAGGCGACAAAAACCAGTGGGGCAGGCAAGAATCAGAAATCCAGGGCGATCAAAACAGGTCATACAAGGAGAGCAGAGATATATCAAAAAAACGTGAGAGAGCTTGTACTAAAGTGACAAAGACAATCTGGCAGGGAAGAGCTAGTGAGGAGGGGTTAAATAGAGAAGGGGACAAGACACAGGTGAAGCCAATGGAGTAATTAACTAAGGCGGGAAAAAGAACAAAGACCGGAAGTAAAGGTAACAGCAACACAGGGAAAAACAGGATCTTCAAAATAAAACAGGAAGTGGATTCACAAGCACAGATCATGACAGTACCCCCCCCCCCTCAAGGGGCGTCTCCAGACGACCCCGGAACATCTGGATTAAGTCTTTGAAAGTCTCTGATTAAAGATTTGTCCAGAATGTCCTTTGCAGGGACCCAGGACCTCTCCTCGGGCCCGTACCCCTCCCAATCGACGAGGTACTGGTGGCCCCTGCCCCTACGACGGACAGCCAGCAGGCGATTCACCGTATAAACTGGGCCTCCATCAATTAACCTGGGTGGTGGAGGCGGGTCGGAGGGTGGGAGCAGACGACTTGTCCTGACGGGTTTGATCCGTGACACATGGAAGGTGGGGTGGACCCTCATGGTCCGAGGAAGGCGAAGGCGAACGGCAGCAGGGTTGATGACCTCTGAGATGGGAAAGGGCCCCACGAACCTTGGAGCCAGCTTGCGACACTCCCCCCGAACCGGCAGGTCACGGGTGGAGAGCCAAACCTCTTGACCAACGTGGTAGCGAGGGGCTTGGGAGTGACGGCGGTTGGCGGACCTCTGGTATCCAATGTTGGTGCGGAGAAGGGCTGCACGGGCTCTCCTCCAGGTGAGGTGACATCGGCGGACCAAAGCGTGAGCTGATGGAACTATGACCTCCCCCTCGAGGTCCTGGAAAAGAGGGGGCTGGTACCCGTAGACACACTGGAACGGGGACAGGCCAGTAGAAGCCACAGGGAGGGAGTTGTGGGCATACTGCACCCAGAGGAGCTGCTGCGACCAGTTGGTTGGACTCCGGGAGTTGATGCAGCGGAGAGCTGTCTCCATCTCCTGATTGTACCTCTCCGTCCGGCCATTCGTTTGAGGTTGGAAGCCGGAGGAGAGGCTGGCCGACGCTCCGAGCAGCCGGCAGAACTCCTTCCAAAAACGTGAGGCAAACTGGGGACCCCGATCAGACACAATGTCCTGAGGAAGACCATGGAGACGAAACACATTAAATAAAACTGCCTTCGCTGTCTCCTTGGCGGAAGTCAACTTAGGCAGGGCGACAAAATGGGCCATTTTGGAAAAACGGTCCACAATGGTGAGGATGACAGTCTTACCCACCGAGGGTGGCAAACCTGTGACAAAGTCCAGAGACACATGGGACCAGGGGCGGCGAGGAACAGGTAGGGGCCTAAGCAGACCGGCAGGAGGGTTTCGGGAGACCTTGCTGCGGACACAAACGGGACAGGCAGAGACAAACTCCCGGGTATCCTCCCTGAGGGAGGGCCACCAGAAACGTTGTGTGATGAGGCTTAGTGTTCTACTCACCCCAGGATGACAGCTTAATAGAGAGGAGTACCCCCACTGCAGGACTCGGGAGCGGAGCGGGCCTGTGACAAAAAGCCGGCCAGGAGGGCAACCAACAGGAATCCTGGCCGTCGAAAGTGCTTGCTGGACCTCCCTCTCGATGTCCCAGGTCACCGCCCCGATCACACAGTCGGAGGGCAGGATAGGAGCTGCATCCTGGGGGCGGTTTTCTGCCTCAAACTGCCTGGACAGGGCATCCGGCTTGACGTTTCGGGACCCGGGGCGATAAGACAGGGTAAAATCAAACCTGGTGAAGAACAGGGCCCACCTAGCCTGTCTGGAGTTAAGTCTTTTGGCTCCACAGATGTACTCCAGGTTTTTGTGGTCGGTCCAGACTAGGAAGGGCTGCTCTGCCCCCTCCAACCAGTGCCTCCACTCCTCCAATGCCAGCTTCACGGCCAGCAGCTCCCGGTTCCCAACATCGTAGTTGCGCTTGGCGTGAGACAGCTTCCGGGAGAAGAAGGCGCACGGATGAACCTTTCCGTCACCCGCAGAACGTTGGGAGACCTGCAATTGAATGAAACTCTTCTTTGATGCGCTGCGGCTCAAGATGGCCAGGGAAAGTGATGAAGCTGTTGAGGTGTGTCTTGAGAGCGAGATATACGCGTCTGATTTCCCGGCACACGGTTGCCTTTGAGAGAGCCTCTGCATCACCAACACTGTACAGAAAAGTCCAACTGGCAAAAAAACGTAGGGCAATGCAGACAGACTGCACAGTGGTCAGGGCTCTGCTAGGTTTGCCTCACAATGTGGGGCTCCAGCAGTGTGCACAAATACACAATTCCCGGCCCGCTGAATCTGTACCTCTCCCACAGGTATTCCTCAGTGAAGGCCAGGGGATTTGTGCGGTCCCGGAAATTTCTGGGGGCGGCAGATTGAAAGCCCTTTAGATGATGGCAGCACCAACATCCACAGGTTTCTCATCAATGAATGGGCATGCCATGGTTGAGGAAAAGGTGGTGGTTCAAGAATGCCATGCTTATATACCGAGTCAAATCAACAATAAATGAGTTTCTGCTGTGTTTCATGAACTTTTTTCCTCCCCCTGAAACTGCTCTCACTACTGTGACACACGTGTGTGTGTGTGTGTGTGTGTGTGTGGTATTCACTATAGGCCTTATTCACTGTAGGCATAATTCATGTTCTTGATTTGACAAATAGATATCCATAATGGATTAGTATAGCAGCTACAGGTAAAACCTAAAACCAAAGTAGGCAAACTTAGACAAAAAGTGAAGAAAAACATGTACCTGGAGATGTCTTTTTTTTTTTTTTTTTTTTAGGGATGATAGTGGCACAGCGCCCTTCATTTAAATAAGGGAGAAGACACAAATGAGCTTGTACACAGAGTAGTCATGTCTCATTTGCCATCACCTTTACATTATCATCATAATCGGAATGGACCACTGGTGAAAGGAAGGTTTTTTTATTGGAAAATTATTGAATAAACATGAAAGAAATAATAAAAGACTTAAGGTCCTTACACACCAGCGAATTTGTGGAGCGAAGCGTAAAAGTGAGATGAAAATGCGAAAATATTCGCCGGTCCGAAAAATCGCTTTCACTTATACACATTGGGCGACCACTCTGTGGTACACACTCTCTCCCATCGTTGCTCTTGGTGCCAGTGGTGGTGTGTGTCGTGTGAACTGCAGCCACATGGGTCTGTGACGTCATCAACAACATGACTTTTGATTGGCCAGAGGTCTAGCAGGTCCAGATATTCGCCTGCGAATATCCGAAAAATTCGACACAAGAGCGAAAAAATAAGACGCTTTTCGCCCCGCGGAAAAATCGCCGCCGGTGTGGAAGCTTGCATTGACTTTAAGCTGTTTTAAAAAAAGGCGAATAATTCGCTTGGCGAATTCGCGCCTGGTGTGTAAGGACCTTAAGACAGAATAAAAGAAAGAAAATCAGATATTTCCAAATAATTACCACTGACGGGATCGAACCCACAGAGCAGTGAAAAACACATTTTACCGGCACTTCTCTTCACCCACTCAGCTACTGAATTTCTCCTTCTCTCTGAGGTTGGTGAAGTATTGGGCATGTCCGGATTCACGTATTCCTATGTTGTTTTAAAAAAGCTCTCAATTTATTTTTCCGAACAAGAGCATTATTTGTTACAGATAAAGATGAAATTACTGTGTGACATGTGGTTCACAAAGTGTCTTCTGCAAGCCCGTCGGACCTTCTCTGAGACGCAGCTAAGTTTAGCTTCACCGTAAGCCTGCCTGGGACCAGGGGCCTGTTCTACGAAGCAAGTTCAACCTAGCGCGGTGGCCAGCGGTCTGGCTAAACGGTTTTACGACGCTGGTTAACAACCTCGTAAGTTGATCCAGCTTTGCCATGAGCGCGTGCACGCATGTAAGGCGGAGTCCGCCGCATCTGACCAATCGCGAACACGGACCAGTCTGGAGTGTCAGAGCCGGCAGGAAAGCGAAGGACTGCGGACATAACAAACGAGGAGCAGGAGACAGACGATCATGAGAAAGTATGAAGAATTAAAATCTATCATAAACCTCAAAAGCAACACCGTCGCCGCTGCAAAAGCACGGAGTGAATGCTGGCAGAAAATTAATCTTTGATGCCATTATCACCCTGAAATAGCACTGTTCAACATGTGCTTTTAACTAAGGTGACCAGACGTCCCCGATTTCCGGGGACAGTCCCTGAATTGGATGATCTGTCCCCGGCTAAAGCTGTCCCCGAAAATGTCCCCGATTTAAGCGTTTCATGAATGAGAACAAAAATGTTGCATGTGGGGTAGAACAACAGTTATTACAGTAGGTAAGAAGCACAAGTAAGCAGTCCTGAACAACAGTATTTACAGGGGTTATTACAAGGGGCGGGCACTGCTACTAAATAGTACCGAGATGTTGTCTGTGATCACACAGCCCATGCCCATTTATTTCCAAAATGAATTCATTTATTTGTTCACTCCTATCGTGTTTACATGTTTTGTGTGATATGTGGGCCATATGAGCCTTTCATAAAGGTGGTCATCCGGAAAAGTAAGTGGGTCCGTGCAGTCCCTGAAAACTCTCGCGAGCCGGAGTGCTCCTCGGACAATGCGAGCACCGAGGTCTATAGGATCCTCCAAGAACAGACAAGCCGTTTTTCGAGAGAGCTCATTGGTCAGTGGGCAGGGTTTTTATACTCTGTGAGTTCAATCTGGAACTTTACCTGCCCCGGAGCAAGTTAGCCGTTTAGCATATGTTGCCATGGAGACTCACCTTGCTAAGAAGTGAACCCGCGTCGTAGAACAGGAAACCCCGAACTTATCCTCAAAGTTACCTCGCTAAGCAGTAATCCTGCTTCGTAGAACAGGCCCCAGGCTTGTCGCGCTGGCTGAGTTACCATGGTTACCAAGCCACGCTAGCCCTAAACCTCGTTTGTGGAACCGAACTCTCACTAAAACCGAAATAAGCCAGGCTTTGGGCTAAGCTAGCTTCGTGGAATACCCCCCCCCCCCCCCCAACCCTGGTCATTTGTTCGTTTACACTTCAACGTAGAGTAGCTCACACTTGGGCCAACAGGTGTGGATGCTCTGGAGAAGTAGGAGGCCAGCAGCTTTATCGCCACATTCCTTAGCATGCAGGCAGGTATGGTATTTTCAGTAAACACTCAAGTATGCATTGTGCACTTTTACTGGGTGACACATTCTTTGACTGCTGCACTGGAGCAACAGACGAAAGGCAGAAGATGTGATGCAACTTCATTTCAGATAACGTGGTTAGATAGAAAACTTTCTAACAGCTCAAACAAAACTTACTCAGATCTGAAGACAGTGTCTTTATTAATACTACACATAAAAAAACACATTTACAGTGAGAAGAAATCAAAAACATACATGCTCATGCTCTGTGTGGGGCTGATGTTTAAAAGCGTCAGCCCCACACAGAGCATGAGCAAGCTCAGCACTGTGTAAAACACTCATAGCACCAATCAGAAACTGGTGATTAAGTTTACGTCTGAGGGGAGCTGGTCGGCAGGTTGTCTATGACTGGAGACATGGGCTGTGATTTTGAGGAGGAAGCCATCTTTAGGGTTTCTCTGTAAAACAGAAGAAGAATGGTTTTACAGCTGTTTCATTAGAGACTGTGTCACAGCCAGGAATCTAAGCTGGTCTGAGGCCTAAAACTGTTCCCTCTCCCTGCTTTGAAAATGTTTCGAACAATGTGAACAGTCTGGTTTCTGCTTCAGCTGGGTTTGAAATTCCTCTAGCATGATAAACAGTTCAAATAAGGTCAGATAATATTTAATAAGTTGATACTTGATTTTCCAGAGACAACACACCGAACTCAATGCTTTTGATCATTTGAGTTTGATAAATCACTGAAAACAGCGGAGATGTCTGTCTGTCTGTCTGTCAACTGCCATCCCCCACCTTTTCTTTTCCATTTCTGGGCAAGTTCAGGGTCACAACTTGGGACTGTAAGTTATTCTTTACAGACTATGCTCTTAGTTTTGGCCCACATAGGACTTTTAACTGTTTGTGTTTGTAGCTTTGTAAATAGTTGTGTTTTAATTTCACTCATGCATGTGAACCTATTTCTACAGATATATTGGAGAAACTGTGGAATAATCTTGATGCATCTCTAAAATCAATATCATCCTTTAACTCCTTTAAAATATCATTAAAATCTCATCTGATCATGTCTTAAATACATCATTATCTGTTATGATCATATCTCTTTCCTTTTTATAAATACTTTATTTTCTTTATCACTGTTTGCTGATTTGTCTGTGTTCCAGTCTGTGTACTTAGTTGTCTGCACCTTATGTTTTCTCTGACCTGACGGGAGTGGAACTCTGTATAAGCCCACCGGCTTCGTTCCCTCCTTGCACTGTTTTTAATCTGTGCTAAATAAACAAAATACAAATACAAAATCTGCATTATCAAATACTTCTGCAAGGCCTTTCACTCAAGTATAGTTGTGTGAATAATCCCAATAGCATTTGTTTGGTCAGTCTGTCATCCGACATATCAATAAATCTATTACCATGCTAACCACATCACCATATAATGCAGGTTTAGGGGCATTTTCATGCACGTTTTCATGAAAACACTGTGTCGCTCTGTTTTGCTTCACATTTGGATTGTTTATAACATCAAACCTCTGGAATATAATCTGAAATAGGACCAATGCATGCATTAAACAGCTGTGTATAAATTCTATAACCAAGGTCACAACATAAACTAACTGTACCAGGAACAACTCCTGAAGCTCTTTCTGCAGAATCTGAGAAAGATTTTATTCCCACATCATATATACGATGTTCATCTACAGTGAGACCAAAACATTTGACTCCCAAATATTGTGATCTATTTCTATTATCTTTGATCTGCAAAATGTGACTAATACTGCACCCTTAAGAATTGGTTTAACAGACTGATAATTGAATGCCCGTGACAGTGACAACATTTAATCCTCAACTCAAGTTGCCCATTCTTCACATTCATTTATAAAATAATTTGAGTGTTTCTATTTTTTTACTTTTTGAAGCTGAAGTTCTTCCACAGGCTGCTGATCTTGGCCTGAACACCAGGGCTGTTCTCATTAATGACAGAGGTTTTCTTTGCAGAGCCAACAGACTTCTTCCTTAGACCACTGGCCCTGGCTGGGCCCAACATTCCCACTTTGGCTGCTGGACTCTGACTGCTGGACTTCTGCTTTGATAGACCTGAAACCTGAAGGGAGAAAGACTACATACTCAGGAGTGATTAAATGTAGTCCATCTGGATAGTTAGGACATTATTTGACTGTCACTTTGAATGCATTAAAGTCAATCAGCTTACTGTTTGAGCTAAAAAAGCTAGGGTTCTTTTTCATTTAAATTTAAATAAACTCAATCTTATGGGTCTTTTTACATACAGCTGAGCAGCTTGTAATACTCCTCCAGCATACAATGAAGAGGTATTGACACAATATCATATTCATCCTTTTTTGAATCCATATTCTGAATCTGAAAAGTCGCTGGCAGCAAAACTTAAGATGTTGCATAAATTCAAAGGAGTGCAAAGTTCAGTTTGTTGTTGCTCTCATTCCACTCACTCTGAAAACGTAACAAAGTAAGCTAGTCCTAGCTTGTTTAGCTATTATAACCTATCAAGAAGGTGTGGTTGAGTAGGTAGTTAGAAGTGATCTCCACTGGTTGCTCTGTGAAGCTGTTGTTGCTGTTTTATCACCTGCTGTGTAGACTTTTGACTCTCTGTCATGACGTGTATCAGTGTGGTGAGCTCTGCAGTTAAAAGCTCTGAGTGCACATGATCAAACCTGGCTCGTAACAAATCATGAAGTAGAAAGCCATCTAAAACCATGACAAGTACAGAAATGAAGCAGGAAAACCATGATAATAATCACTATCAAAATGAAAGCTTTATATACATTGAGAGTGGAGCATCATAACTGAAAACCGGGTATAAGAGTTCCCGATGAATACAGAAAAAAGTCACATGAACAAGGACATCCACAATATGATGTTATTAGAAAATATGTATCATTGACCAGTGAGTGCAGTTTTGATAGAATACCCAGATCTATAGCAGTCCAGGTTACATTTAAAATTTGAGACCTCTCACAGGTGAAAATGAGACCTTTGTTTTCTTCTAGATGTTTTATGGTCTGAGATAATGTTCATTAAGAGTTGGTAAGGATCTGTTGAAACCCTGTCTACAAAACAGAATCAAAACATTGTCAATTATCTGAAGAAAAGTTTAAGTCAACTTTTATAAAAAGACTTCAAACTGACTTTCACTGACAAATCTACTCAAGATAAGGCCTCACCTTTGAGCCTTTCAGAGCTGGTTTCTTATTTCCTTCTGGTGAGTGTGTGGGACTCCGTTCTATCTCTGAATCTTTGCTTGAGTTCATATCCTGCAGAGGCACATAAAAGACGCACATTAGAGCCCAATGTCAAACAACCAAACAAAGTTTACACCCCCACATAGGACAGGAAACTGGTGATGATGTATGTGTGATGGTTGACCGAACCACAAGTGAGGTGTAGACATTTAAGAAGGCAGAGGAGAAAAGAAAAGAAATGAACCTACACTTGCAGCATCCTCCTGCATGGTGGGAAAGCTGTAGGTGAGGACTTCCGCCTTATGGCAGGAAGTGAGATGATGCTGAGACTGAGAGAAATAAGCACTGTCCTGGGAGGGAGGGGAGTCTGGGAGCTCATTGTCCTTTTGGTCTCTTTCACATGGCTGTTGTGGTGGTGACGTGTCTACAGGTGATCTGGGTGTCTTTTTAGGTGATGAACTCTCCTTTTTATACTGGAACTGCTGCAAGGCACTCAGGCCTGAGGTGGACTTAGGCAGCCTTGATCGTTCAGTGGAGGGGGAGTTATCTGACCAGTGGAACAGCATGAGGCCCTGACTGGCTGAAATGGGGGAGGTGTTGCTTGGTGACTGAGGTGGGCTGGGGGTATCCACAGATGTAACATCAGGACCATCACTTTCAGTGGTCTTGGTGCTAGGGGACTTGTCCTGAGAGTGACTCACAACTATGGACTCCATTTCCTGAGGTGAATCCTGCTGAGGCTCCTGGGTGCTCAGAACTGCTGCTGGAGAGGGACTGCTGAAGAACCTACATGATGTAATAATATAAACAGATCAAGATTTAATGGACCAACTGCACCGCGTTATGAAGATGTCTGACTACAGCAAAAATGCTCCACTTAATGGCCCTCATTTATCAAGCTTGCGTACGGCAGAAAACTTACACACACCTTGTGTACGTAAGTTGCGACGTGAGGATTGGCATTTATCAATCTGCACGTGAGTGCACGCTATGACCAAATCTCACAACAGGTCTGACATCGTGTACGCAAGTTTGAGCAGCAAATGTCTGTCTCAAAATAATTAATAAACAAACCTCAAACCTGTCACTAAGCACAATCAGCCAGATTTCATTAAATATTAAGACGTAAATAAAATAAAAACCAATTAATTTGTCATGTCCTTAGTGAATAGACCTATTTGATAACTCTGCCCAGAAACACTGCCACAGAGCAGGAGCACCATTTTAACATTGCACACATATGCACACTGTGGAGCGCTGGGTCTGACTCCTAAAAGGCAGGTGTCTCGTCTTGGCCCAGCAGCGGAGGACGTTGTTGTACACTCCTGAAAGGGTGTGGGACATCATTTGCACCGGTACAGTTTTTCACAATGTTGCACTGGTGAATGGAGTGCCGTTGGCTGTGCCGGTGCAACGTAAGAACCCGATGCCCAGAGAACAATTACGAGGAGAGACTCCACAAAGGTGCTGTACAGAGGAGACAGGACCTTATCGATGGATGTAAAGTATACGTTTAGAAAGTGCTCTTCCAATAGAAATCCATAAAAATGTGCCTCAGGGGCAGCAACACATCGTTTGGTGACGTTGTTATTTTTGTTGAGCCTCTGTCAGACTCTCCAGTCTGCTCTACATTACAAAGACGCAACAAATTAAAACTAAATACTTTCAATAATAGGAGCAACGTATCCTATGTCATGGCAATAAAAAAATATGATGCATGTATGAGATATTAATTTATCATCATGAGCAACTTATTGACTAATGATTTATTCAAACTTCAGACACTGTCCACTATTACGCGGCAGCGCTGTTCACCGCCACCATAATCCTGCTCCAGACAGGAGTTTTCTGGACTGCTTTTATACCAGTTTTGATGCTTCCAAAGAGAAAATCCTTGTTAGTTTCCACCACAGATGCGAGAATATCCACCTTCAGCTCGGAAAAGTTTCGAATCTTTGTAATATTTTTCCTCTTTCATGTTTGACCTCAGTGTGCAAGGCGTCTGAACCACAAATATTTAAGGGCGTGACATGTTAATGACGATCATATGTACGCTGAGATTGTTCAGATACGAACCCTTTCATAAATCTCACGTGTGTCTTATCGTACTATGAATCCTGCGCTCAGTTTTACGCAAGATTGATAAATGAGGGCCAATGTGTTTTCACACTGACCACACATGTTCCTCACATGTAAACAATTCAGCCTCAGAGACTTTTTTTAAAGTTTGAATTAAACATCTCATTTAAGATTCACCACTGACACACATTTATACACAGCCATACAACTGTCTATCATGGTGGCAGAGATGGAGACTTGAGTTTGGGGGATTTTCTCAAATTGCACACCCATTAAAAATAAATAAATAAAAAGTTTTCACGCACTTAACCCATCTGCTGCGCAGACTGACTCTAAATCCCTGAAAATTCTCTGAAAACGCATTTCAGCCAGTTTGTCCAAGTAGTGTTACTGTCACACATGCATAAATGGGCTGTTGATTCGTTGATTAAGAAATATCTTGGGCAAAGGCAGCTGGTTTAGTGTATAAGCAATGTGTACTGTCCTCTAACTTGATTTGTCAAATTACAAGACAGTGAACCGTGGTCACAAATAATGGATTTCAGAAGTATAATGTCTATAAATTTGAATCATATGTCAATGCGTTTCAATCAATCTCACAGACAAACTTTAAACAACGTGTTTTTAAACTCTCTGAATGCTTGTGTTGCTTGTTGTGCAGTACTTCATAGTAAACATGTGTGTCTTGATCAAATACAGATCTGAAGCAAAGGCAAAGATTGATTTCTGTGTTATTACCTGCTGCGCGTGCCCTCGCCATACTCTACGGCGCCCTGGTTTCTCCTCTGCAGCAGGGTGGCAAAGCGGTTGTGTGGGTGGGGCTGACTGGTTGATGTCTGCTTGTCTGGCTGTTGATCTGACCTGGATCTCTTTGGACTGCAGCTTGTGTACAGCTGCAGCACATCCTGGTCTGATAGACCAGAGTCTATGGAGAGAAAAAAAAAGACCATAACACTTCTGGGGCCATTATTGGCTGCTTTTAGTGCTTTGTTCTTTGATTTCCATATTGCTTGGTATATAGCATGAAAAATACCATGAATAATGTGTGGTTATCTTACTCTAATCATGTCCTCAGTGGGCATGAAGGATAGTTATATTTCATGTCACAAAATGGGCAATGGTTAATGAAACTTGGTGAACTAAAAAACCTCTTCATTTTTTAAAACTAGAATATATCTCCACCTCCAGAAATCCTTCTGGAGGTGGGGGTTGAAGACCTCAGGGACAGGACCCTCCATCAGAAGTTCCCTGTTCAGCCACACTACGTGTTTGGGTTTACTAGGTCTATCAGGCAGTCTTCAGATGTCTTCAGCTTTGCACATGGATCATGTGACAGGACTGCAAAGTCTATCATCAATCTTTGGCCGAGGGTGGCTTGTACCAGGTACACGGAAGTACTACCCTTTTCTCAAGCATGGTGTTTGTTAAGGCCAATCCATGACTAACTTAGAAGTACAATGAAAAAGCACCGCTGAGGTTATCATCAGGCAGACCATTCCTCCCAATCACCCATCTCCAGGTGTCTTCATCATTGCCCAGGTGGCCTCAGAAGAACTTGTCTCCAGCCAGGATCCCTTCCAGTAATCCACCCAGAGGCTCCAGGAAGGCAGTGTGCCCAAAACTGCCATTGGGTTAGCCAGTGGTTAAGGGGTACCTCTCCATACCCGCCTGCCACCTAAAAACTAAACTACAAAAAAGCCCCATGTCTACCAAATTGTTCCGCATTGTTCATTCAGGCTGAGCCCAACCAGGTCCCATGGCCCCTCTAGACAAAGAGGCTCTTCTGCCTCTTTGCTTATTCACAGTTTTTTTTTTTTTTCCTTAATCGCTCTTAGTCTGGAACCTCCTTCAGGACCAATTTGCTCTGTTAGAGACTCTATTAGGGGCTAATAACCTTGACAGCATAGTTCCTGGGGGACAAACCCCTACACCACAATAAGGTGGTGATCCTCGGGGGGATGAACAGTTACTTAAAATTCTGGTATGTTTCTTACATTTCTGTAGAGATGTGACAGGCAGATGAAAGGGAATTCAAAGAAAAATACAGACAAATAAAACACAAAACAATTGTGACAAACAAAATTGTGGCCAGAATCAATCAATCAATCAATTTTATTTATGTAGTGCCAGATCACAACAGTCGTTATCCCAAGACACTTTGCAAAAGAGCAGGTCTAGACCACACTCATTGTTTGATGTATCACATTGACCCCAAGTTGAAGATTTGACCCATCCCATCCAACATGAGTGACAGTGGCAAGGAAAAACTTCCCTTAACAGGCAACCTTGGGAAGGACCAGACTCGTGGTAGACAGCCATCTGCTACTGCTAAACATTTATAACCATTGTTCAATTTATTTGACCAGTTTCTCCAACTTTGTGATAACTTGCTTTTCCTCTTTCTCTGCAGCCTACATGTGAAACTTTGTTTCTAACATGAAACTACAAATAAATAGCTTTCAATAGTCTCATCAATAAGGCTGGTGAGTAAGATATTTGTGATGTACTCTGAGTTACAATCCTCACAGTGATTCACACTTCGTTTAACACTAAAATCGTAATGAATGAGCTACTAAAACAGTCACAGCTTGTCAGGATCAATGAATTTGTTAGAACACTAACACATCTGAAGACCTTAAACTCTGTAGAAAGCTGGGGACTTTGTCAGTAAAATGTTCCAGGGGCCAGATTTCCACAATCATCAGCATTAGCAACAAACACTTTGTGCAGAACAGAATCTTTTTATGGGGAAGGTAAAACAGTAAATCATGTAAAAAGCTCACCTTCTCGTGGTCTCTTCACCTGCAGCTCTCTACAGGGCAGCTTCAGTCCATCCAGGCTGACAACTCTCTCCTTCCCTCTGGTGGACGGAGGCCTATCTGGGGAGGGAGCACTCTGGGACAGGGCAACAGATCCTGACTTGAAGTGTCTGCTCCAGATACTGGGTCCAGTGGAGGCTGACGAGCTGTTCCAGCTATGACTGCAGGGTTTAGACACCTGAAACAACCCGTGTGAGGTCTGAGTGACACTTAAATTCTGACATATGGACTGTGTCAGGTTTATAGTCTGGTACCTGCTGCAAAGGTTTGTCTGGGCTGAAGTCATCTATCTTCTCCATCGTGTTGATGTCAACATTCCCCATCGCCATCTGCAAACCTTTCTCATCCCCAAGGTTACTGAATTTAATAAAGTCAAGGGTAAATGACTGTAAAAGGAACCTACCACATGTTTAAAGCTGCCTTTTGTTTAATGATTGGATGTTTTATTATGAACTGTTATTCTAACTCTTTTTTTGTTTACATTTACACTTCTTTTCAGCTGCTTTTATCCTTCTATGTTAAGCCCAATCCCAAACTGCCCCCTACACACTCCCCCTTCGTTTGCGCGTCCCAGCAGAGGCTCCACCATATTAAATGCTGTCCCAAACCGCAGAGTCCGCTCAGCCTTCAAATAGCAGTCTGCACCAGTGCACACTTACAGTGGGATGCACCGGTGCAGGCAGTGCGCCAGCAAAAATAAAGGAAAAGGAGGAAACAACATACAAATGTAAGTTCCGTACATGTCCACCCCTGTCTCACTGACAAAAAAAAAAAAAAAATCACCCGTTTACGCTGCCATACACAGGACACATCTCCATGTTGCTATGGTGATGAATCTTTCCGTTTTCCGTTGGAGAGAGGAGGGCAGCCCGTCTTGTTTATACCCTCCCGTTTCAATTAAGGCGCACTCCACAGCTGTGAGTGTAACTTCATTACCTGTGACACTCAGTAGTGAAGGGCGAGTGTGTAAGGGGTGGATTGAGATTGGGCCATAACCAGGTGTGCTCCAGGACAGGATACATGCCAGCGTAGGTGAGCGTGGCTGGGTCGATGTGCTTTGGGTACGGGTTCAGCGGTACAACTTTCCTCCTGATAGGATCAAACACCAACTGGTAGAGGAAGGTGTTGTTGGCTTTGATAAATCCCTCCACATACTCTTCAGGGACGACCAGATTCATCTTCAGGTACTGGCCCATCTTTCTGACCACCTAATGAGGAAAATAAGCACTCAGAATTTTCTTGCACTGATCCTTCCACAGACTGTTTTTTCTATCAACAGTCATTTTTATGCAGGTGTAAGACTTAAAAGTGTTCTGTCAAGAACTTTTGACACAGCAAAATATAGAAAAATATTTACACTGGCAGTAAATACAAAAGACCAAACTGACGTGAAGTCAATCAGTACATGAAGGCAGAAAGACATCATGTTTAGGATGTGTACTCAGTCAGCTTCCTTATTTCTTTTGGAGCCATTTTTTGAGAACTTGAAGGTTAAATCCCTTGAGGTGAGACTTTTTAACCTCTTTTCTAGGTGTGGCAACATGTATTCTTACAATGTTTTAATATCACAACAAAAACTGTATGTTGCTGTATTTTTTGGCAATAATATTTTAAGAAAGGGACAACTTGAAAAAAAATGTCATAGCTGAGTCACTTGTGAAATAAACATGAATTGAATTAGTGAAATAAATACAGTAAAAAATGCGACTGGACACTGATTTTTTTGAGTCAGATTCTATTCTATATATGCTTTTTTGTTAGGTGTAACTAATTTATGATACAGGTCATGTATCATTGGTTATCAACCATTATGTGATATAAAAATATAGAGAAAAAAAATGTCATCATAAATTACCTACAATTATTATCATCAGAAAATGCAGAGGTCATGGGTTAAGTTCAGTAATGTGTACAGTTGCATCTCTTTGATTTGGGTTGGACTGTCTGTAGTAACTGTGTCATCTGTATTTAACCTATAGCAGTGGTAGTTGTAGTACAACAACTATGGGACTCTGCTGAGAATCGTAAGAGGGTGGTGGCAGCATTTCAGGTACAAATTCAGATGGGCCACCTCATTACACAGCAGAGAGACAGGTTTACAAAGAAAGAGGCCGTGCAAATAGATCTTACTGAAAATCTGTTACTCAACACAGATTTTGCTCTTACTGTGAAAATGAGAAAAGCACATAGGGTCATAACTACAGAAAGTTCTGGGACAAACCTTACTTTTGTTACTAGAACACAAGTTTCCACTTTGACCTATCATCCCTGTCCACATGGACCTCAGTTTCTCATTATCTGGTCTCACCTTGAGGATATCAGGGTCTTTGGCCAGCCGTAGCAGTTTGCAGGCCTTGCCGAGCCCGATGCCGTGCAGGGAGGCCAGATAGTCACAGCCAGAGAGGATGCACATGTGACGAAATTTCTCCTCAGTGAAAACATTTCCCAAAGAGCGACAACGGCCAAGGTTACTCTGATTGATCTCCAAGCCGTTGCCTTGCTGGTCCATTTTGAGGATTACCTGAGGATGATTGTAACAAGGAATAGATAAATGGCTAAGGGACTACTTTTTAGAGTCTATCGCTGTTTTTTATCAACTAATTGTTTGCTGCAAAAACTAAAACCTTTGATTCTGTGTTTTCACCCTGCTTTCATTTGCCTGTTACCTTAAAAACAGGTTAGCTATTTCATGTGTTTTTGTTGTTAACTGATCACTGTACAAAAATAAACTATTTGGTGTTCAAGAAATTTTGATCAGAATATTTCAGCTCCTCTTTGTACAATGATCTCAATCTTTGTTGATACCTTTTTACAGCCAAAAGCCAGCAGGTCAGAGTCTTCTGTGATGACAGCCTGAGCCAGACCAGATTTAGTGAGGTAAGCTAACTGAGCATCTGCTTCATATGGAGCAACAACACAGTCCACTCCTCTTGCCCTCGCAACCTGTCCCAAAAAAGGAGGAAACCATGAACATTTCTAACTATTAAGATGCAAGACTGATGAATTAGTCGGAAATAAAGAATAAGTAACACAACAATGAAAAACAACAACCTATTGTGCCTCTATTTTCTCAAACAAAAGAAGTAAATTCTTGATGCCTCTTTGGAGTCAGCCCTATGAGTTATGGTGATAATAATCTTTGCCATGAGGAAGTCCCCACCTTAATTAAGTTTTGTGCCATGGCTGGGGTGATGTTAACACAGCGGGTAAAACAGTCTCTGGCCTCAGACAATTTTCCTTCCCGTAGAAGCTGTCGGCCTTTATGAAGGTTAGCCTCTCTTCGTCTGAAAAGCAAGTTTGTAATTATTTCTGTTTGAATAATTAAGAAGTCAAAGCAGAAGTTTGATATGAATAAAAGGAGAGATAACACTGAAGACTTTGTGTCTAGACAGTACCATACCACTTTAAAACAAACATCCTGCTGCCTGACTTTAAATACAGGAAAGTCAATAATACAGCTTCTCTTCTCTGGAGTACTTTTCCTCATTAATGTTGTTAACTTTGTGTGTTGTGAGTTATGTTTCACCTTTTCACAGATTAGCACATTCCCCACACATAAGCAAAGTGTTAATGTTGCTGTTTAGGAATGCAGCTCTTCAGATAAACCAAGCTTTGTCTGAGCCTGTTTATTACAGTAATGAAAAACACTGTGTTTGGCACAGAGCATCAGTGCTCTGTGGATACAGTGGAAGATAATGTAACACAGAAACATTTCTGTCAGGATCACATTTTTCTGTCTAGAAATTGACCTCAAGACCCTAATCTGCCTTCTTCACCTAACTTTGGTTTTCATATTTGTTGTGTTCAGAGAAGCCAGTTTCAAACTGCAAATCCCTTCATGTGTGAGTGTGAGTGGTAAATTATTCCTAACATGCCACATAAAAAGCAGAACAATAATAATAATAATAATAATAATAACTTTATTTGTATAGCACTTTTAAAAAACTGGGGTTTACAAAGTGCTTGACAATAGTAATAAAGCTAATAATCTCACTATCACTCACAAATTTTCACTAATGTCTTCAAAGATTTTTATGAGAGTGGCAACAAACTTGGATCATATCTGTATGGACATATCCTATACACATTGTGGTGTCCAGTCGTAATGAACTTTTACACCACCAAGGCAATACTCACTCTCTGCGGGCTTTTTCCACTTCCTGTTTTGAAGGCAGGTTACGTCCATCAAACACCAGGATTGGTTTGATACTGAAGGTCAACAGCATGTTCACAAATTTCATGCAATACCACACATACCTGGGGTTGAACAAAATAAACATCAACAGAAATTATGAACTTTAATTCTTACTGAAAGAAGCTGAGCAGGCACAATACAAAGAACTGAACTTGTCTTTTTTATTGCAAAGGAAAAAAAGACTTACTGATCAGTTTGTTGTCCTTTAGCAAGCTTCTCAGCACATGAAAACGCTCCTTTGTGCAGCCAGCAGTATGTGTCCACAGCTACAGTCTGTCCTTTGTATTTTTTTATACTGATGGGTTCACCTGCATCTTTGATGAACTGTAGCAGTCCAGTAATTCCCATTTTCAGCAGCTGATCGGGGCCACACAGTGTCTGTATCTGCACAAGAATCAGAAAAATGGTCTTTAAAACAATCTGTCACCCTCAACGGGCTCATTTGAAGACAGATGACCTTGAAAACTCTGAAATAACCTTGACAGACAAACCCCTCTCAAAACTTGGGTCATAGACTCCTAGAAAATTAGATATCAATCTACTTTTTTTTAAATTCATCTATATTTTCAAAACTATGATTCTTTATTGTGATATGCTCAGCAAAACAGACAACCACAGTTAAGTAACTTCTTGTCAATCAAATGACAAAAACATCCTTTGGACAATTTGAAGCACTTGTTAATTTAACCCAAAGGCCTCTCTCTGAACAGACTTTTTGCTGTGATTGTCATCTCACCTTATCCCATTTTTTTGTTGTTTTTTTGGTTTGTTTTATAACTTCTAAAAATAAAAAAGCCATTAAACTGAAGAATTTAAGTTTCTGATTACTCAATCAATTCTATTTTATACTGGAATAGAAACCAGGTTCAAGGTGCTATCCAAAAGTACAGGTGAATCTCAATACACTCCTATATTTTTTGAAATTTCTTTTTATGTAATTTGATTCAAGAAGAAAAACTTTCCATTACTCTTGTATTTGTAATGTGTTAAGTGAAAATTTTTGTGCTTTTTTTGTTTGAATTTTGATGTTTACAAGCAACAAAATCAGCAACCTTGAATCTTAAATTGTTGGACATTCTTTTGCATGAATTACTGCATAAATGGGACATGGCATGGAGCCAACCGGTCTGTAGCTCTGCTGGGGTCTAGTAGAAAGCTTGTATCCAAAGGGAATCATGAAGAGCTCTCAAAAAAATCATGACCTTGAGCATGATGACACAAAGTGGACCTACAGCAGCAGATGAGAGGGCATCACAAATCATCACAGACTGTCAAAACTTCATACTGGACTTGGATTGATTGAGTACCACTACACTCATGCATGATGAGCATACTTATTCTTCTATGATTGCTTTGTTGCTCTTCAAACTGCAAATTTCCCTACCATGGGATGAAGAAAGGTTTATATTATGTCAATGCATGGAAAAAAACAAAGCAGCACAAGATAATTCACCCTGTCATAGACAGAGTAACACTGCTTTGAAAGTATGTGTATCTCTGTTGCAATTAACACCCGATTGCCTATTTTGGTGCATCTTATTTTATTTTATCTCTAAGATGAGCTTAATTTTGTAAAAAGATTTTCTCTTTCTGGGCATCTAGCGCTGTTTAACCAACATGTGCAGATACAGTTGGTCGAATATTACAATGCTGCAGTAGCTCACTAGTTCTATCACATTGAATTAAATAAATATTTTGATTATACAACACACGCCTTGATTAAGACCATTACACACACACTCTCACACGCGCGCGCGCACGCACACGCACACACACACACTAGTTTCAGGAGAACATCCTCAAAAATCACAGAGCCCTGTCCACAGCAAACTATATGAAGACAATATCATACCATACCTTTTGAGTGGAAGACGTCGTTGTTTCGTTTAAGCACCGTTCATCGATACTTGTTCTTAAAACTATTGGATATATTAAAGGAGCTGAGAACGTTTATGTTTAAGATAAAGAAAATGACAGACCCCGAGGGGACATGTGAATGACTTAACGTTTTTAAACTGCTGTGACTGAACTCCGTGTACCAGAGCGTTTAAGATACACTAACTGACCAAGACAGCACAGAAAAGTAAAAGTATTAAAAATTATAATAATTCGAAAAACAACAAAAACATAAAAAAAACAACTTACATATTCTGAAACAAACCCTCCTTTCTTCCTTCAACTTGCGTCCAAACATACAGGCAGTCTGTCGACAGTAGAGTTTGGTTTTAGCGGCAAGAGAAGTGATTCAGTATAAGCTGCTGCAATAGGCCAGACAGGCGGGATGGGAGGGATTAATGGAAGAATGGCGGATGTGCTTCATAAAGTAGCCGGCATACCCCGTTAAAATACTCGCGTGTATTCCAATTACTCTCTCGTTTATACTCCTTAGGGGAACATGCAATCCCAGGTGATCCTTATTTCTTTGCTACTCTGTGACCAACCTATCACAAAATTCATGGACAGACGGAAGCAGTAATGATGCTCATGTCACAAAAAACACAATCAGATTCACCGCCCTCCATTCTGAGTGAAACGCGACACGCTTGTTCTAATGGCGAGCTATGCCACCTCACAGACGGACATGCACCGTGATGAAAACTTCAAGACGTAAATCGTTTATTTACTTACTTACTTACTTACTTATCTATTTATTTACTTAATTCGCTTATTCAGTTACTAACTCGAGAAAAAAATAATTATAGAAATTATTACATTATGAGACATGGCCCAAAAGTAACATATAACTGCACCAGCCCCTACATGAGCCCAAGAAAAATAAGATTTAAGAAGATTTAAGAACTTTATTGATCCCCGAAGGCAAATTTAATGTAAATAATACAAAACAAAATAACAAATAAGAATTAACAAATAAATAACAAATAATTAACAAAACAAGACTACAATATAAACAAACAACCAAACAAAAAAATCAAATAAATAAATAAAAGCATGACTTTTATATCTTAATCGCGTTTGGATTCCATTACTTAAGGCCCACTTGGAGTTTTTCTCTTCAACTGGATGCAGGAAAGGCAACTTTAAGTTTGGCAATAAAAAGCAGCATCGAAAAAATTTATTAATTTGTTGTCAGCTGTAAACATGCTTTGTTAAAACTTTGTAAAAACTCATTTTGCGTCCACCAACACAATGTCACCGGTGGGCAGTAATAGTACAGCAAATTACTTTCACTTTGAAAAAAACTTTGTAATTTTATTTGAGAACAAGTTTGAAGTAGACATACTCAGGAATTTAGTGGATAATATGGCGTGGGTGCTACGAGGATGTTACTGGATGAAATGGACATCACTGGAGAGGAACTTAATGTTAAGCTTATTAAACACAGTAGGTGGCGGTATTTCACAATTTATGGTTACCGACCATAGACAGTGAGTAGATATTAAGGAGAAGAAGAACTTCATGGATCCCAAAGGGAAATTCAATTGTCTGTTGTCTCATGTCTCAAGTCATCCACGATTTATAGAAGAGTTGTAAAGTCTGATGGCTGTTGGTACAAAAGATCTACTGAATCTTTCTGTCCTGCGGCAAAGAGAGAGGAGCCATCCATCACCATTTGCCCTTTGGTCCATTAAGGTGTTGTGAAGTGGGTGATCCATGTTCTTGAGAATAGATTCCACCTTCCTCAGTGTAGATCTCTCCACCACATCCTCCACTGAGTCCAGCTTGAGTCCAACCACAGAGGCAGCCTTTTTCACCAGTTTGTTCAGACGTTTTGCATCTTTGTGTTTGATTCGTCCTCCCAAGCAAACTGCAGCATAGAACAGAACACTGTAGTCACCACAGACTGATAAAACATCTGCGGCATCTAACAGATGTCTATTGATCGGAGTCTTCTCAGGCAAAAGAGGCAGCTCTGCCCCTTTCTGTAGATGTACACCTAGATATTTACATGATGTCACCACTTCGATGTCCACTCCACAGGTGTTCAATGGCTGAAGAGGGGGTTTGGATCTACAGAAGTCCATAATCATCTCTTTTGTTTGAGGTGTTGAGGAGGAGGCAGCTTTGTGACTCCAGTCACTGAAGGCTCTTGTCAGATCTTTTAGTAGAGGGAGAATAGAAAAAGAAATGATTAAGAATAAATAAAAAATTGCTATGGTTAGTAATAAGTGCAGAATATTTGAAATAATGCTATTTCTAAATCGCAGTGTTTAAGAAATAAGTCATGTACAATCATAAGAGTGTATACAAAACCAGTTTGTGGGATATTGTACAGAAAAATGTACAGTTAACCAAGTATTGCACAGTTAAACTGCATATTGCACAGTTTAGCTTAATAAACAATGTTATCATCAGTATTGCACCCTTAGATTATTGAAGTTTTGGGCAGAATTCAAATAGATTGCAAAGTTGAAAGTAATTATTCGAAATGTAGACGGTAACACTTTGAGAGGGGTGCAGGGACAGCTATTGTGTGAAACTCAGAGGGAGGAGATGTCCACAGGTAAGAATGACTTCCTGTAACGTTCTGTGGCGCTGTGTTTACTCTGTTTGTCATGTGCTATTTACATAACTGTTAGCTTCAGGAGCTTTGAAAAGGAAAGGAGGGACTGCTACAGGGAGCTGTGATTCTACTCACAAGCACGTCTTTCTTTTAAAAAAGAAAAGAAAAGGAAAATGTAATCAATTGTGACTACTTCGAAACAAACACTCAAAGTACTCAGAACATGCTAATGGTAAAATGATTACTCTAATATAACAAACAAGTGAAAAACAAAATAACTAAAGTTGAGTGAAATTTCTGTTGAATAGATTTTAATTGAATAATAATTGGCTCAGTAAAATATTGTCAAAAGGGACTATTTTTTGTCCAATCTGAACTTGTCAAGAAAGAAAAACATTGGGGTGAAGATAAAAAGGGGAAGTCATGCTAAAATTACATGCACAATAAACAAACAAACACAGTATTTATCCATTTTCTAAAATATTTTTATTTTTAAAAAATGTACTTGTTTTCAGTATTTTATTGTTTTGACAATAAATTTGTGTTTCCAAAAATATTGGTTGTCAAAACCTATTCGCTTTTGTTCATATATATAAATATATATATACAAAAAATTGTCCTATTGTCCTCCCTTGTAACATTAACAAATTGCAATTAAAGCTCTAATGTCCCACTTTTATGGTAGCATGTGAACGCACCATAATACGTGTCGTCTTTCCCAGCTTCCTCTGCACTTCCTGCTTCAGACCGCAGAAGTGTCTGACTGGACGAAAACAAGATGCGACAGTTAATTTAGCGGATGAGCTGTGATCTATGACAGCGATATTGAGACTTTCGGACACGTTTATGACCGCTTAATTTAAGTGTCATCTCTGTGTTACCGGCAGTAATAAAAAATTAACCATGCAGTTCTCTCCCACCAATGGAGACTTTACGTTCGTCTCTTCGACGGAGGCTGAAGGTAAGCTTAAGCCAACACGGGTTCTCGGCTAGCAGGCCCTGGGCGGTTAATAGACAACCTTTATTTGACTTTCCACGGAACAGCTCAGTCGACATGGATAATGTATTATAAAGGATGGCTGCAGGCTTGTGTTTGCCGACTGTGCTTTTAGAAAGGCGTACCTTCATCATCATAAACTGGAGCGCTGTCCTCGGCTAACACTTCACTGTAACGATATGTGTCGCCCATGAACGAAGGCATCAAACATCATTAAAATCTTTCAAAACCTCTGCTACCGTCAAAGTTAAGAGGCTTTTGACAAGGCAGGGAGATATGTTTATCATTTAGCTCTGATGATACACAGTAGTGTCCACAGCTATCTTCAAAATGTTCGGATATGTTAACGTTGAGCGCTTGCTTTCACCTTGTTTTCACCGGTCCCGCAAACTTTCCACCACCTACCGCAGCCAAATATACTAGGATAGAGAAAATAGGAAACATAACATAATGACGTGCAACACATTTCAGCCCTAGCCTATATGTCAGCACAAAAAAGCACAAAACAATGTTGAAATGTTGAAGCTGAGAGAGTTTATTGTTCTTGGAAATGATATGCCTCTTAAAGCGGATGCCACCAACGTGCCCCTCTCATATCAACATGCAGAGCGGGGTCATAAAGATGAACCCTGCAGACATACGATCATTTTAAGTGAGGCTCAAACTGCTTCATGTGGAAGTGCTGCAACAAGAAAACTAGACAGACTCTCAGAGTCCAGTTTTCTGCATTAATGTTGTAGTTGAGTAAGAAAGAATGTCCACACGATCAGGTGTCAGTCAGAAAACAGCGGAAACAACGCTGACAGTAGCCACTCATTTTTACTTTACATAGATGGAGAACTTTTTAAATCCTTAAGTAAACATACAGAGCTGCCTCAGCTTAAGTGCAGAGGCCTAACGTCTTTAACAGAAACACTGATGTTATCAAAATTGTTACAACAAATAGTTTCAGCCCCAGGTTATTTCGATTGCAGCAAGAATGAAAGAAGACTTTAGCCCACTCTATATTTCAAATACCTTTAATCCCTTATTTGTCATTGCACGGCCATGTGTGAGTTCAGTTACAATCCCTCTCTGCGCCACTGATGAAGTGAGTGTTAGCTATTATGTCCATGCTATTTTAGTTTTCTGTAGAGATTGCAGTAGAGATTATTCATTATTTTTTTAAGATTTCCACCTAGATCCTAGTCAGTTTGGGTTGTGCGTTGGAGATGATTCAGTTGTCCTGATAGAATTAATAGTTAAAGTATGTATAACATGCTCCACAGCAGTTTTATGGTCAAAGAGAGTGCTCTAAAGCATACATTTTCTCAGCAGAGCTCAGCGGCACCATCAGTGCCCCAGACATCAAACTAAACATGGGCAATGAGGGTTGCAAAGATCCATACGCCACCACCTTCCTGAGGCAGCGGGGCTATGGATGGCTGCTGGAGGTGGAGGAGGATGATGGTGAGGAGAGCAAACCTCTTCTGTGAGTACATGTTGTGTTCTTGTCACTCTTGTGTCTTGTGCATGGCAAAAAAAAAAAAAACTGTTTTTTTTTTTTTTTTACAACCTGTACATAAAAAAGTCAACATTACTTAACACGTACCAACAGTAAACATACTGCTGACAGAAATAAAAGGAATGATATGCAGGATTTTTCTCAATATATAGACCCAGATGAAATCATTCGCTTGTGTGTAACAGGGTTGATAGTAATTTGAACATCTTTGTGACAGGCCAGAAAGAATGAATAAATGTTAATGTTTGCTTGCCTTCCTCCTCGCTGCCTAATGCTGGGCTTACGCCAAATGATTTTCACAGTCCCAGGCTAAAAACTGAAAGTCATAAGTAAATCTATGAGTTTTACTTGAGTCACAGCGGAGTCGCAGCTCGCTCCCTTTATCTCGAACAGCAAGTTTTTGTCCCTCTTCCAACTCTAAGATGTGAACTCTCGATTTGATGTGGATGTGGTGGCAATTTTTTCTTGTCAAATGATAAAAATAAAACTTAAAATCAGTCACAGGGCACAGTTGAGTGGATCAAACACAAGATAAAAACTGCAAAAATTCAATTTCCTTCTTTAGCATTTTATTTAGCAAAGAGGTCTTTCACCAAAGATTTGTCATCCTTGGACTCAAGTATCTCCTTTTCCATCCGTCCTATCTTGACTGCCCATCTTTCTCTATATTACCTGTCTCACTACTGTCCTTATGCACTATAACCACTGCAGTCGTTTTCACCACCAGGCCTTACCAATATAGGTGGAGGGTAGGGCTGTAACGATACACTAATCTTGCGATACGATACGATATATTTGGCTCACGATACGATATATATCACGATATTCCGCTCACGATACGATTCGATACGATTCGATACAATTCGATACACTTACATCATTTTCTGAAAGATTTGAAAGTGAAAGAGTGATTTTGTTAACATCTTGTGAGTGTTCCATTGACTTGGATTGAATATGAACAATATATGGCTCTGACTGGCAACTTGCAAATGCTGGACAAAATGAATCAAAGATGTGATGAGATCATTTGTTTCATTTATTGAAACTCAGTGCAAATATTAGCTTACAAGCTTACAATACTGAACGTGAGGTAGCTATTAAAATTGTACCCATCTCTTAGCAGACTAGCATAAGGCCTGTAAACTCTGACCAAAAAGTGAACACTAAACACAAAAACTCTCCACATAACTGCAGACCAAGTGATCTACATTCTCTTCAGATTTTTGTTCAGGAATAGAATCTGATCAACGTGCTCTGGAAGAAGTGCACTTCTCTGAGCAGTGATGATATCTCCGGCGGTGGAGAAAACCCTTTCTGAGGAGACACTAGTAGCAGGAATGCAAAGGTGTCTCTAAGCAAGCTTTGACAAGAGTGGATACTCAAACTGGTGCTCCTTCCACCAGACCAGTGGGTCTTCTTTCACTTCCAAGAGATCTGCCTGCTTGTAGCGGGTCATCTGCTCCTTGGCTTCATCCTCTTGCTTATTTGTCTTGGATGGTGCTACACCACCTCCTCCATAACGTTCACCAAGAAGGGCAGCCAGTGGACAAGATGGCCTTGGATTTCTGGGTCGAGGACCCTGACCTTCAAATAAATAAACAATAAAAACAAAAACACATTAAATATGAATAGTTAAGCACATTCTATAAGTCCTACACAGTGGTTCCAGACAACACAGTGCACTTCATTGGATAACGATGGGTGATACTGATCTTGACTGTTCTCTCCCTTCTTGAATTGCTCACCATCATCTACAGCCTCTTCTTCGGATGACATCCCCTCATCATCTGTTATAGCATTTTCTGTCCTTTCTTCCTTCACATTCTACATCAAATGAATCAACATGAAATGAAATTCATTGCTTTAACTCCAAAAAACTTTTAATTACTATATTTAATAACTATGCCATTAAAATTGTTAACATAGTATTTATACTTTTTAAACTATTTAATATTTATCCATTTTAAACTGTTAATAGTATTTATGCTTTTTAAACAATCAAATATGTACCCATTTTAAACTGTTAACATTGTAGGATTTGCCTTTTAAACTTTGAACAATGTATTATTTAGGCATATGCTTACTCTCTGGATTGCCTTACCTCAGATGGCTGCATGCTCAGTCTTGCAGCCTGAACAATCAGTTCATCATAAACTTCCTGTCTTTCGTCCTCAGTCAGGAAGGGAAGACTTTTGAATCTTGGATCCATTGCTGAAGATGCATGGAGAGTTGGCTTGAGGTTGATGTACCTCTTCTGAAGATCAGCAGCCATGGCAGCCTTCATCTCTTTTATGACTGGAGATTCACCTTCGGTTGTTTTCAGTCCGTTGATCAATGTGTCCTGGAGGGGTGCAACAACTGACAGTGTAGGGGTCTTCTCCTTGGACATGTACTGTGTAGCCTCCTTCATGGGCTTCAGCGCGCTGACTACTTCTTCAGCTGTTGTCACATCTGACTCGGTCAGTGTGTACAGATCCTTCTCTGTCTTCCTCACCTCACTGGTGAGCAGGGCTGCACATATGGCTGGCTGTTGCTCGAGGAATCTTTCCAACATGTGCGCACTGTTCCATCTGTAGTTAAATTCAAGTAAGAAAGTATTTATAGACCAATAGCAACCTTCACACGGCATGGCTGCACAGAATGCTGCTTTACATTAATGACAAAATAAATTAATAATAAAATCAAAATAAACAATTACAATAATGTTGATTAATGTGCACCATCTCTGTAAAAACAAAACTAAACAAAACAAAAAAATATATATATCAAATTTAGAAAAGTAACCATGCACAAACCTGGTAACCACGTCCATCATCAGTGTGTGTCTTGGTAGTTGTAGAAGCCTTTGCTTCTCTTTCAGCATGTGATTTGCTGTGGTGCTTCGCCTGAAGAAGTTCACAATGCGTCTCACTCTTCCCAACAGACGTGCGACTGCTGTAACTTTGAGGGCACGTTGTGCAGCCAGATTGAGGGTGTGTGCGTAACATTTTACATGCAGAGTGAACGCTGCCTCCTCAGCTGCTACAGTCATATTCGCCGCGTTGTCAGTTACAATCACTGGATCCTTCTCCGTGATTTCCCACTCAGCGAGGGCCTTTCGCAGAAGTTCTGCAAGGTTCTGTCCGGTGTGGCTCTCGGGCATGTCCCTAGTTTGTAACACATAGGTAACAAGCTCCCATTCTTCGTTTATAAAGTGAGCCGTGACGGTGACATGTGCCTCTGTTGTTCGCGAGGTCCACCCGTCGCACGTCAGGGCAACTCTCTCCGCACGGGCCAGGGAGGCTTTGACGTGTGCCTTCGTCTCAGCGTACAACTTGGGCACACAAACATTAGTGAGGTGTTGGCGGCTAACGATAGGATAGCGGGGCTCCATCGCGTTCACCATGCGTCTGAAGCCGGTGTTTTCCACCACCGAATAAGGTCTCAAATCCTGACAAATAAAGTAGGCGATGGACTCCGTAATTTTTTGCGCCCTCTGCGAAGATGCTGGGAACTTGTGGACCCAACTGCTGTCACTGCCCAGCGTGGTTTGTTTCGGGTCACGAGGCTCGCCCCGCAGCTTCTTGGGCTCAGTGTCAGGTAGCATTACCTTGTCCGGGTGGTGACCTTTTAAATGGGCTCGCAGGTTGGTAGTATTCCCGGAGTACTTCACATTTGTGTGGCAAAGCTTACAAACCGCCATAGTTTTGTCCAAACTGTCGCTCTCCTGCTTGTTTTTGAATCCAAAATGCTCCCATACATCTGCTTTTAAGCATGCAGGTGCTGGATTTATATTCGCCGCCATTCTCGAGTATCTCTCAGCTCAAACCGGATGAGAAAGGCGTCGGCGTTTCAGTAAGTAGACATGCGCTACAGCGACACTAGCGGCTGGCGGACCTAATTGCACATCCTGCGCGTATCGATACTCGCGGCTGAAAAATCGATACTCTCTGGGGAAACAAAAAATCGATATATATCGCAGAATCGATAAAATCGCTCAGCACTAGTGGAGGGCCAGGTTGAGATTTTGTGTATTTGAGCGATCCCTACCATGGGAGAACCTGATTTTTTGTGAACAGCATCTACATTTTTCAACAAAAGAAACAAAATTTGTTGCTACCCTGGTATTTTGCACATTTTCTGTTAATCGACAACTTTGTCCGAGTTAGCCATTCCGGCAAACCAACCGGGCAGCTATGCTTGGGGTCGGACAAGGATGAAGTAGTAGAGGTCATTATCCCGCCTGATCAGTTCCCTCCAGGCCTCCCTTCAGGAAACACTTCCCTGGGACCCTGCAAGCCCTCGACCATCATCGAGCTCCACACCGCGTGCTGGCTGGACCTGGAGCAAGGTCGTTGTCCGAGGTAAGGGAAAAAGCCGCCACACCGATGGCTCCCCAATCCGCATCACCCTGACAAGCCGCATTGAGACCCTACCACAGGCCACTGTGGATCCGGCCGTCGATCCGACGCAGGAGGAGAACTGCGACACTATCGCCGCTGGCATTCTGGGAGAGACGCCGACCGGCGGTCACGTGGCCTCCTCCTCCAGCCTGCTAGCTGCCCGGACACCCGACCATGTCTCGCCCGACGCCTCGGGCCGCCCTGCAGCTGCACCTGCGACCACCGCTAAATCTGGGCCGGCCCCCTCTGGCCCAGCTACCTCCCGGTCGCCATTGGATGTGGGCGTGAAGACCACCTCCCCACCACTGTGCAACGGCCCCCGGGTGCTGGCCTGTGCTAGCGGGGGGACTCCTCCCTGCCGGTGCCCAGTGGTGCCGGTTAGCACAGAGCCCAGCCCTCCGAAACTCGCCAGTCGGCTGCCACCACCACCAGTGTCTCCCTCACCGCCGCGTCTTTGTCACGCCACTAACCCCCCCCCCCCCGCCCCCCACAAAACGGGACCAAGCCTAAACAGCCCGAGGCAGCTCGTCAACACATCCCTGAAAACCCAGCCGCAGACTCCATTCAGCAGACACCAACTAGCCCACCGCACGCACCGCTCTTTCTGCCGACTACAGCCATCAAGGTATCCGTTTTTTCAACGCCATCACGCTGCCTTTTCCCGATGCTACGCTAGCAGACATCACGGACAAAATGCCCTCCCTTCTCCGTACACTCCCCTCCTCAAGCCACCGCATCATCCTCCATGTCAGTGTAAATGACACCTCTCGATACCAATGGAACAAAACAAAACAGGGCTTCAAAAAACTTTTACTGTCCGTCACAGACTGTGGCAAATCAGTATTCTTCAACGGACCCCTGCCTACTGTTCATAAAAGTCCATAAAAGACAATAACCTGGACTTCATCTGTCTCACCGAAACTTGGCACAAACCCACCGACCACTTCTCCCTCAATCAAGCCACCCCATCTGAATACAAATTCATCGACCAACCTTGCACAGAGGGGCGGAGGGGTGGCATCGCAGTAATCTTCAAGAAAAATATCAGTGCCACCACCCTCTCGCTCCCCCCTGCCCCCTCTTTTGAACACATCGCCCTCAAACTCCCCGGACCACCACCACTCATCATCACTGCCCTCTACCGTCCACCCAAACCCAACCCCTCTTTCCTCCAGGACTTCTCAGACTTTCTCCTCCAACTTAGCATCATCTCACCATCCATCCTCCTCCTCGGGGACCTCAACCTCCATCTTGACGACCCCACCTACCGACCTGCTCAAGACTTTCTGGACATCCTCAACCACTGCAATTTCACCCAACACATTAACTTCCCCACTCACAAGCATGGCCATATCCTTGATCCTGTCTGCTCCACCAACATAACCATCTCCAACATCTCCAGCTACAACCTCCACATCTCAGACCACCTCGCAATCACCCTGACATTCACATCCCCTAACCAAGCCCGACTACCTCAAGGACTATTACATTTCGCAAACTCACCCCCCTCTCCCCAGCACAGTTTGCACTTCAGCTGGTAAACTCCATCCCCACCTCCCCTCCCCCTCCTTCTGCCAATACTGGCGACCTCATCAAACTGTATAACTCCACCCTCTCGTCCTGCCTCAACAATATTGCACTCGTCCACCAAAGAACTGTCTCCTTCCGTCGCCCTGCCCCCTGGTACACCCCCGAGCTCAGGGAGATGAAAAGAAAAAAACGCCAACTCTAACGCCTCCATAAGAAAACTGGTCTCACCGTACACCTCCACGCCCTCACCGACTACATCCACAAATACAACAACGCCCTAAACACTGCCCGGACCTCCCACTACTCCAACATAATCCACGCCGGCTCCAGAAATCCCAGATCCCTGTTCTCTACAGTCAACTGTCTGCTCAAACCCCAGGATCATATCTCCTCATCATTCACCACCAGCAAATGCAACACCTTCCTCAAATACTTCCAAGATAAAGTGAACTCCATCTGCCACTCCCTCGCCCCCCCCCCCCCCCCACTCTCCCTCCCCCCACCCAATCTCTATGCCATTTTTCACCAGTAGCTCCCTCTAACATTCCTGCTCTGCTAAAAAACCCCAACCTGCATTCTTGACCCTGTCCCGTCCACTTTCATCAAACACTGTCTCCCTTCCATCTCCCCCCTAATTTCATCCATCATCAACTCCTCCTTCATCTCCGGCTCTGCCCCACCAGCCCTCAAACTGGCCGCCATCACCCTGATCCTGAAAAAACCTGGCCTTGATCCCAACTGTCCAAGCAATTTCCACCCCATTTCCAATCTACCATTCCTGTCAAAGATCTTAGAACGTGCCGTCGCCTCACAATTTACAGCCCACCTCCAATCCAACAACCTGCCCGAACTGTTCCAATCAGGATTCTGCAACAAGCACAGCACTGCTAAAAATCACAAATGACCTCCTGCTCGCCTCTGACTCTAACCAACTGACCATCCTCCTCCTCCTGGACCTGTCTGCTGCTTTCGACACCATCAACCACTCCATCCTCCTCAACCGTCTGTCATCCGACCTCCACATCAGCAGCACCGCACTCTCATGGATCTCATCTTACCTCTCCAACCATCAACAATTCATCCATATCAACCAGTGCTCCTCCTCCACCACCCCACTCCCCCAAGGTGTCCCCCAGGGATCGGTGCTTGGTCCCCTACTCTTCACCCTCTACCTACTCCCCCTTGGCAACATCATCCGGCAACATGGACTCAACTTCCACTGCTACGCCGACGACATACAGCTATACATCTCCTCCCGCTCCATCTCCTCCACCACCCTTGCCACCGTCACCTCCTGCCTCAACGCAATAAAAACTTGGATGCACCACAATTTTCTCAAACTCAACAGTGACAAATCAGACCTTCTTTTATTCCTTTAATTAATTCTTTTTATTTGATTTTACCTTGTTTTTAGCTTGTTACTATTAATTTTGCCTACTGTATTTTTAATATGTTTTTGTAAAGTGTCTTTGAGCTCCTGTAAAAGCACTATACAAATAAAATGTATTATTATTATTATTATTATTATTATCCAATGAAACACCTGGAAATATGCCAGCTTGCTGGTAAGCTAGTCCCCCGCAACTGCTGTAAACTAGTGTAATGCAAAGTTATTCAGTACATCAAGCATTTGAAGATTGCCCTGAATGCTGACAGACATAGCAAAATAATAATAGATTACTGTTGCAATCACTATTAATGACAGTCAAAGTTAAACGAAAGTGAAAGATCTCCAAATGCCATTATTATGCTTGATTAAAGGGGGAAAATTACCACTTAAAATAGTAATCCCTACCTTTGAGATCTTAAGCCTTCTGTAGCATTGTCCTAAGAAATGTTATTGTGAACTGTGGAATTAATAAATATGATTTCCCAAATCTGAAGTTCAGTGAGCTGTTTATGTACACCTGTCGATTATGTTTCAAAATGATGAACATTATCTGTCAGCGTCAAGTTGTAGAAAGAACATACTCACGGCACATGTTGCAAACAGATAGCAAACATTACAAAAATGGAGTGCGGCATGCATGTGGTCCAAAGAGAATTTATCAGTTCTATATTTCTAAGGAGAGATGTTGGTACACCTGAAAGTAAAGTGGCAGAAGAGGCAGTATAATGATTTAACCAGAAAAACCAGGTTTGTTGTTATCACGCTACACAAGAATTGTGTAAAATTCCTTGATTCAGACTGCACAGGGATTGAAGAAAGAAATTATCTTTAGCTGTGTATGTTAATTGATCCACATTGTCCCTGTTTTTTATTGAAAAAAAAAAACCCATAAATATACCCTTCAAATTTTAGGAGCCTGTTGTGATTCCAGTAAACAGTGGCTATCACAGGGACTGTTACTGCCACTTTACTAATGTTACAAGAATAAAACAAGCCCAGAGAAGGAGTGAAAAGGCATCTTTATTGGAAAACAAAGGTAGTTTTAGAGTCATGTCAGTGTACCCTCAAAAGACGGGCCGGTTGTCTAACAATTAGGGATCATTTAATAACAAAAAGTAATATATTTTAGTGTGGACCATGTGAGCCCTAATGATCTTTGATAAATGTGGTACCACTTAACTCACATTCTGATCTTTGATGAAGTAAATCAAATGAAAGAGGGGTGTACATTTTTTTAACAAATTGGAGCCTCAATGTGTTTTCATCTGCATCTTTGTTTAAGTGCACGGAATTGAAAAAAAAAAAAAACCAGAGGATAGTGAGGCAACTTCAGCAAAGACGAGGGTGCTGAGATCCAACACTGGTGACCTCTTTGCATCCAAGTGGGCAGCACACCTTTTTCCACTACAATGTATTATTTGCAAACAAGAACAATACAAATGAGTCATGCACTCGAAAAAGAGTCAAAGACAAACTGACACAGTGTTAAACCCTTTCTGCAGGGCAGTTGCTTCGTGCAGCTACTGAAAAAAAAAGATGAGAAGCTGCTTCTGCACATTCGGGACAGGGAATTAGTGGCCAATGAGGCACGATACCACCTGTTTCAGAGACTGTACTCGGTACCTGTTCATGGAAAAGAAGAAAAAGCAGAGGGAAACGGCTACAAGTATTTCTGTGAGACTGTTATTGAGGAAAAAGCTTTAAAAATTGCAAGGTGGTTTGCTTCTCCAACAGGAACCTGGATAACCCAGTCCCCACAAGTAATACTTCTCGGCTCTTATATCATTCAGCTCTCACACTTAGGGACATAATTAAAAACACAGCAAAGACCTCCCCAAAGCTCCCTTGGCCCCCACGATCAAAGGACCTAATTCTTGAGAGTGCGCTACATTAGGTGCCAGACCAACTTTTTAACTTTGTGGCTTGGACTTGTGGAATTTCAACCTAACCATTACAGACTGAGCGTGTAGAGGTCATTTCAGAAGACTGCAGGAACCTGTCAGGATATCATTACCCTTACAACCACTGGATAGTAGCTGATGCCAAAACAGTGTTCCCTGGCAATGGCAGTTCAGCACATGACAGGCTCAGCTCAGGTCATCAGGCCGCTGAATGGTCTTGGCCACTGCACATCAAATTCACAAGTTCTTGATCATGATACAGCCCTTGCTCACTTGCAAAATTGAGAGAGGAGAAATCTACATCCCAGAATACATCAGAGCTGGAGTACAAGCCATGCTTTTCTGGGAAAAGAATTATTCTGGAGAAGAGACACTTTCAGGCAAAGGAACAACACACAACACCAATGGAATAACTTTTCAGCAAGCCATAGTTGTTGACTCAGTATCGTTACCTGAGAGATCAAGAACGAGAGCGATCCGTTCATCCTCCTCCACCAAATCTATTATCATTAATATGGGGAAAGAGGTCTGGTCCACATAATCCTATGTTGAAAATAGATCTTCAGCAAATCAAATACACACGCCCTAATAACAGCAAAAACAGTTGATGCTGCATTTTTCCTCATGAAAGTGCCTGAGTCCCAAAAGAAAATCTCTCCTGGATGGACAGGTTTTACATTATGTTAAAGCAGGACACAATCCTCACTATTCGCATGTGACAGGGTCAATTATGCCAGGTATCTAACATAGGGATGTAATGATTACTGCTAAAATGATAAACCGTGGTAAATTGTCTGACAGTAAGTAAAACCGTTTCAAATATTAATTACCATTAAAACTTGATTTGTTCACATATTTATGTTATTTTAAACATCAGGGGTCCGTTTCACGTAGCAGGTCTAATGGAAACTCAGAGTCTGTTAACCCTGAAATCAGGGAAACTCTGAGTTTTCCGTTTCACAAAGGAGGGTCAGTTAAACCAGAGAGAGAGGGGTAACTCTAACCTGTTTCACAAAGAGAGGTAACTGAACCTCGCGGTCAGTTACCATAGTAACAGACTCGGTGAACCTAACCTGCTTGGGAGCAGGTTTAACTCAGTAAACCCAGAGTTTCAGGTGAGACATCTGCATTTTCTCATTTTGATCATGTTTTACATTGTAATGTTAGTATTAAGTGGCAGTTTGATCCCTTAAAAAATGCTCTTTTCACACTCAAAAATGATTAGGAATATTAAACTAACACAGACTTTCACTCAGCAAACAGAAAGAGGGCAGACGCCAGAAAAACGGGTGGTGGGCCAGCAGCCCCACCTTTAACGGAGGCAGAGTAGCTGCCCCCCCCCCCCCCCCCCCCGCAGTTCATTCTGCGTGTTATTTTGATTGTTTTTTTTTTTTCAAAATAAAACTTTGTTTAATGATTTCAGTGCGTGTATAAGTACTTTTTAAATATTTTGAACATATTTCAACAATACCGTGATAATATTGATAACAGTGATAATTTTGGTCACAGTAATCATGATGTGAAATTTTCATATTGTTACATCCCTAATACTGGGTTGAGATGACCAGTCTGGAAGACACACATCCCACAGCACATCAGCAGCTTCTTTCAGGTGACTTTGTAGTCAGATGGACCCTTACCCAATATGAGCGGGCAGCCATCACACTTGAATGCAAAACAATGGCTGGACAGTGCCCAGCATCATACCTGCATTCTGAGCTGGATGATGCAAAAATACAGAGGGATCAGGCTAATTGGAGGAACATTATAGCCACTGTCCAAAGTATGGTCAATCCCTTTGATCCTTTGCTTGATGGAGAGTCTCTGCATCAAATCTCCTCCGGCCAACAGGCACCATACAATGTTGATGAAGATTTACTGGGGGCAAAACAAAGAGGGCTGGAAACTCTCACTGAGTTCTGTGCGAAGAGGATTGTCACTGCAGAGAAATCCTTCCATGACCTATAAAGAAAATGAAAGTTAAATATTCAAAGATACTGGTCACACTACTAGCACCACAATTAAGGAAAAGAAATTTACTAAAATCACATCACAACCTGTTTGCCAGGTTAATTGTGGGAACTGTCAGACAAATTAACATTGATGAAATGCTCACCTACAGTTCGGGTCCTTTGCCACAACCACCTGCCAACTTGAATGGCTCTCTGGTAAAGACCAACAAAGCAAAGTTGATGCACATACTAATGGAGGACATCAGCACAACACAAACAGCAAGGGCTCTAGATGGCTCTATGTGGATATGGGATGCTATGGCTCTAGTGCAGCAGCTAAAGCCACAGCCAACATTTGGACAACACGCTGAGCGTGCTAAGAATAAGAATAAGAACTTTATTGATCCCAAAAGGAAATTCAATTGTCTGTTGTCTCATATAATATGTCTATAAAAGTTATCTATTATTTACATAAAAGTTATAAAGCCTGATGGCTGTTGGTACAAAAGATCTTCTGAATCTCTGTGTCCTGCAGCGAAGAGAGAGGAGCCATCCACCACCATTGGCCCTTTGGTCCATCAAGGTGTTGTGAAGTGGGTGATCCATGTTCTTGAGAATAGTCTCCACCTTCCTCAGTGTACATCTCTCCACCACATCCTCCACTGAGTTCAGCTGGAGTCCTTCCACAGAGCCAACCTTTTTCACCAGTTTGTTCAGAGGTCTTGCATCTTTGTGTTTGATGCTTCCTCCCCAGCAGACTGCAGCGTAGAACAGAACACTTGCCACCACAGACTGATAAAACATCTGCAGCATCTTACTACAGATGTCTATTGATCAGAGTCTTCTCAGGCAAAAGAGGCGGCTCTGCCCCTTTCTGTAGATGAAGTCAATATTCTAAGACCAATCCAACTTATTATCCAGATGTACACCTAGGTATTTATATGATGTCACCACTTCGATATATGCTAAGGACACTAGTCAACTTAGCCAAAGACACAAAGTCAACCAAGCTCCATTTTGTATGTGACATATACACTCACCAGCCACTTTATTAGGTACACCTGTCCAACTGCTCGTTAACACTTAATTTCTAATCAGCCAATCACATGGCGGCAACTTAGTGCATTTAGGCATGTAGACATGGTCAAGACAATCTCCTGCAGTTCAAACCGAGCATCAGTATGGGGAAGAAAGGTGATTTGAGTGACTTTGAACATGGCATGGTTGTTGGTGCCAGAAGGGCTGGTCTGAGTATTTCAGAAACTGCTGATCTACTGGGGTTTTCACGCACAACCATCTCTAGGGTTTACAGAGAATGGTCCGAAAAAGAAAAAATATCCAGTGAGCGGCAGTTCTGTGGGCGGAAATGCCTTGTTGATGCCAGAGGTCAGAGGAGAATGGCCAGACTGGTTCGAGCTGATAGAAAGGCAACAGTGACTCAAATAACCACCCGTTACAACCAAGGTAGGCAGAAGAGCATCTCTGAATGCACAGTACGTCGAACTTTGAGGCAGATGGGCTACAGCAGCAGAAGACCACACCGGGTGCCACTCCTTTCAGCTAAGAACAGGAAACTGAGGCTACAATTTGCACAAGCTCATCGAAATTGGACAATAGAAGATTGGAAAAACGTTGCCTGGTCTGATGAGTCTCAATTTCTGCTGCGACATTCGGATGGTAGGGTCAGAATTTGGCGTCAACAACATGAAAGCATGGATCCATCCTGCCTTGTATCAACGGTTCAGGCTGGTGGTGGTGGTGTCATGGTGTGGGGAATATTTTCTTGGCACTCTTTGGGCCCCTTGGTACCAATTGAGCATCGTTGCAACGCCACAGCCTACCTGAGTATTGTTGCTGACCATGTCCATCCCTTTATGACCACAATGTACCCAACTTCTGATGGCTACTTTCAGCAGGATAATGCGCCATGTCATAAAGCTGGAATCATCTCAGACTGGTTTCTTGAACATGACAATGAGTTCACTGTACTCAAATGGCCTCCACAGTCACCAGATCTCAATCCAATAGAGCATCTTTGGGATGTGGTGGAACGGGAGATTCGCATCATGGATGTGCAGCCGACAAATCTGCGGCAACTGTGTGATGCCATCATGTCAATATGGACCAAGCTCTCTGAGGAATGCTTCCAGCACCTTGTTGAATCTATGCCACGAAGAATTGAGGTAGTTCTGAAGGCAAAAGGGGGTCCAACCCGTTACTAGCATGGTGTACCTAATAAAGTGGCCGGTGAGTGTACAAACACCACAGCATCAAACATGCCGAGAGATATCGGCGGGCAGAGCAAGGTTTTCGAAAAATCCAAATATATGGAGATGACCAGAAAACACCAAGACAGTGGAGAAAATTCCTGGCTTGTGGTGAAAAAAAAGAAAACTTGCAGGAGTACTTTTTCCAAAATTGGAGCAGAGCAGCAAAAACTGTAATTGGAAACACAACAGTCATTATTGGCCATGCTGACAAATGCCATGCATTTAAGATGAATGAGACTAAAACTGACCTTGAAATACTGCAGGTTCAGGACTTTGAGACAACTCAGGAAGAGGCAGACACCAGACTTATGCTGCATGCCACTTATGCATCAAAATATAGCAGTGACCTGGTAATTAAGAGCCCAGACACTGATGTATTTGTGTTGGCCCTTGGATTCTGCAGCAAAGTTGATGGTCACCTTTACTTCCACACAGTCAAGGGGAAAGATTCTCACATAATTGACATTACAAGTCTACATGCTCACCTTGGGGAAGAAAAATGTAATGCCCTTGTTGGTCTTCATGTGTTCCCTGGATGCAACACTAAGTGCAATGCATGGGGTGGGGAAAGCCAAAACTTATAAAAAGCTTTTTTGCCGGCAAAAATACATCACCATGTTTAGAGAGCAAGGAATTAGTTTTCTCCAACACCAGAGCTCTGCAACGCATTGGAAACTTTCACATGCGACCTATACAACCATAACTGTCAGGATGTTAACCAGGTGAGAGTCAAGCTGTTCAAGTCAGGAAAGTGTACTTAGAGAGACTTACCCCCAAACAAAGACTCCTTATACAAGGACATCCAGCTTGCTAACTACCAGGCCACAGTCTGCAGAAGGAGCCTTGAGTGTATTGCTGCGTTCGAGTTACAGAAAAAAGGAAAATCGGAGGCGGAAACAAGATGGCTACATCTACAAAAGTTATTTTTAGCGCTTGCCTTGTCCTTGTTATATCTGGACAAGCTAAAATAACTTTCGTAGATGTAGCCATCTTGTTTCCGCCTCCGATTTTCCTTTTTTTCAACTCAGTAACTGAAACACTGGTAACTCAGCTGTGATGTCATTTTTAGCTTCGACATCTGACTTCCAAGGTAACTCGAACACAGCATAAGGCTGACATTACTGCCCCTGTTAATCACAGATGGAAGATGACAGGAGATTTCTTAGAGGTACACTGGATGACACTTCCCTCAGCGCAGGATGCAATATTAGAATTGGTGCACTGCTCCTATAAAAAAACAGCTGTGTTAAAGGTAGATGCAAATGCAAAGTGCATGAGCTGCCATGAACCAATCTCTGCCAGTGCACAAATTGTGGTAACAGACCATTTGAAAACTGAATTTTGTTTGTACAAGTGTCAGCATTTTTTTGTAATTGTTTACATTTTACTCAGCAGATATATTTTTGTCATAAATTGAAGGAAAAAACGATCTTTGATCCAGGTCTCTTAAACTTGTTTGAACTCTTAATGTTTGCTGGACAGTATGAGCAAGTGTGAATTCTTTTGTGATGCGAAAGCTAACATATGGCAAACAGATAGTGCTCCCTTAACAGTTTACTCAACTCAACTCAACTCAACTCAACTCAACTCAACTCAACTTTATATGTTGAGCACTTTAAAACAACCACAGCTGTACAAAGTGCTGTACATAACTAGACAAAACAACAAGATAAAAAACAATCAAGAACAATTAAAACACTGGATAAAATAAAAGCAGAATTAATAATAAAATATAGCTTCAATGTTTTTAAAAACTAATTTAAAAACATAGAAACAAATAACTAAAAACAAACCATAGAACACTAAAACAGGAGCCGAGTCTCATGCAGGGTTAAAAGCCAATGAATAAAAATGGGTTTTAAGACGAGTTTTAAAAATGGACAGTGTGGGGGCTTGTCTAATTTGGAGGGGTAGCTCGTTCCATAAAATTGGGGCAGCAACAGAAAAAGATCTATCCCCTCTGAGCTTCCGTTTGGACCTCGGTACCTCCAGGAACAGCTGATCAGCTGACCTGAGGCACCGAGCTGGGGTGTAGGGGTGGAGAAGCTCAGAGAGGTATGATGGAGCCAGACCATTTAAAGATTTAAAAACAAATAAAAGAATCTTAAAATGAACTCTAAAATGCACGGGCAACCAGTGGAGAGAGGCCAGGATGGGAGTAATGTGCTCCCTCTTACGTACTCCAGTTAAGAGCCGGGCGGCTGCGTTTTGAACTAACTGGAGACTTGAGAGGGAGGACTGGCTGACTCCAAAATAAAGTGCATTACAGTAATCCAGCCGAGATGTAACAAAGGCATGGATTACTGTTTCAAAGTGCGTACGTGAAAGAAAAGGCTTTGCCTTCGCCAGCTGCCTAATATGATAAAAACTGGATTTCACTACGGAGCTAATTTGCCTATCAAATTTAAAATCACTGTCCATCTTAAAACCCAAATTTGAGACGGTTGGCTTTAAATAATCTGCTAAAATACCCAAATCTACAGGAGGGGTTTCACAAGGGCCACTGGGACCAAAGACCATCACTTCCGTTTTTTTTTTCATTGAAGTTTAAGAAATTCAAAGCCATCCAGGCTTTGATGTCTTCAAGACATGCCAGAAGTGGAGTGAGGGAGAAAGCATTTCTCTTGTTAAGTGGCACATATATCTGACTGTCATCAGCGTAACAGTGAAATGAAATGCCATGCTTTCTCAAGATGGATCCCAGGGGCAGCAAATATAAAGAAAAGAGCTAGAAAAGAGTTTAATACAACTTTGTCATGTGTTCAGCATAGTTAGCATCTTCCAACAACATAAAACGATGACTCCCCTTCATGTTTTAAAGCTTCTTCTTTTACTGGTTACATTCCAATTGCCGTGTATCTTGTTGTTGTTTCACACCATGTCCACCAGCTGATTCATGTGATCTATGTCTGCATGTAGTGCTGGGCGATATGGAAAAAAATGTATATCACGATATGGATCATTTTATATCACGATAACGATATATATCACGATATAGCTATGGTATGCTTTCAGTTCTATGAAAAATTTAAGTGTATACAGCTGCACTAGTACAGTACCAGTACAAGACCAGCACTTAAAACTAGAAAAATAAATAAATAAATACGTGGCTGAAGTGCGTTCATGTCTGTGCTCACCCAAAGTTATGCAACACTCACAGAAAACGCCGATAGTGTGAGCCAAAGCACTCCATAATAATAATAATAATAATAATAATAATAATAATAAATTTAATTTGTAATGCACTTTACATTTACAAATTAAATCTCAAAGTGCTACAGTACACAGTAAAAAAAGAGCAGCAACAATAAAAAAGCAATAGAATGACAGTCACAGATTGGCATAAAAAAAGAATTAAAAAAAATAAAAAATATAGAGTTGCAATGTAAGAGGCAAGGTAGTAAAAGCATAAAGCATAGAGGAAAACTAACCAAAGGCTTTATTAAAAAGGTAGGTCTTTAGGGCTCTTTTGAAGAGGTTGTTCACACTGCTAGATGTTTCTCCTCCAAAGCTGCTCTCTGCCTCCATCATTGTTTACTTTACTCTTGAAGCACGTAGGAAGACCCGAGCATGAATCCGAGCGCTTTATTCGCCTATCAGGGGCAGACAGGTAAGGTGATTTGATTCGCCACGACTCCAGAAATGATTGAAAAACTACGGAATGTCACAAAATTACGTTTCCTCGCTGCTGGCTTAAAGGGTAGAAATGCGCAGCCGCGCTCCCAGCTGACAGGAAGTCAAACCACTGTTGTAGTTCTTTTGTGTTGCTAGCGCGGTCAAGAGTGTTGGCTCTCACTGAGAGATGACTACAAAAATGGACGCACCTGTTCATCTGGTTGTTAAACACGGCTGAAAATGATCATCTTTTAATGTTGTTCCCGCTCCTGCCCACTCCCGTGGCCTTTTTTCCAGTCCCGTCCCGATCAAGGGATTAATTAAAAAATGACTCCCATCCCGTGGGATTCCCGCGGGAATCACGTGACCCACGGGAATTCCCGAAAAATGTCATCCTCTACAGGGAAGGTCCCGGAGCAGATGAAACAGGTGACGGAGCGGCTAAAATAGGTCCCGGATCCGATCAAAAGAGGTCCCGGATCGCGCTCCGACTTGCTCCGGCACAAATTAAGCACTGCTTACAATGATCCCCTCACGTGTTTACACACGTGAGGTAACCCGCAACGGCGGGAGACGCTGAGAGGTGACCAGATGCAGCGCAAGATGGCGGACCCAAAGATAGAAAACCACATTTACAAAACGCAATAAGTTTCCGCATTACCTCCGATTGGCGGACCCAAAACAATTACTTCCGGTGGAAAGGCTTTCTCGTTGGCGGACTTCCGGCGCCGAAATACTTCAGGTAGTCGGATTTAGTCGCCGGATCCTTTTTTTTTTTGCTCCGTTCATTCCATAAGAATCGAATTAAATTTATTATTGAGCTAAAAATCAAAATAAAACGTTTATGTATTAATTATGACTACTGTTTTGTTCTGATTTAATTCTGAAGTTTACAGTAATATGTATATATAGCCTGATGTCCTCATATTCTGATAATTTGTCAGAATAGGTAAATGTATGTAGAAGTTATCATCTTACTCAAATTCTTTTGTAAGAGTTTGCTACAAGTATGGACTGTTTTAACCTCTCGTTACACATCATATAACAGTGTTTTCTAACTTTTCTCTCCAATAGCTTTATTACACAGCACATCAATGTTTCTTAACTTCTCTGTGACCTTGTTTCTCCACTCCTATTAGGACCTCGTTTAATGTCAACAATGTTGCCCTGACCCTCACATATTTTCTGTTGTTCATAATTATGTTTTATGAGAGTGCTTATGTTGCTGCACAAATTTACTCCCCCCATCCTTTAGTAACATTGTGTAACCAGGGACATAATTTATGAAATGGTGTGCTTCCTGGTGAACCTCTTCAGGATTGCTTGACTGTGCAAAATCCAAGTATACAATAGTTGTAGAGACACAAGTCACATGATCTCTTTAAGGTTCAGAAGAGCCATATAGCAAAAACAATTGAATAGCGATATCATTACAGACTGTGTAAAGAAATGGGAAATTGTCATACAACTGCTTTGAAGATTTCTTTAATTTTTTCCAAACAAAATTGTGAACAGTAAAAAAAATATATATATATACAAAATTCAGCACTGCTCTCGGTGTGGTGGGGGGCTTAAAACACGTTGCCACAGGCCATCATCAGCTCTGCTCTGAACCGGTTGATGCCATGCTCCTTCAGTGCTTTGATCAAAAGCTGAAAAACAGTCAAATAATGTGAACAATTGAAGTTATGCAGTATGGGTTAATTGTTGTTCTTGAGCTTTCCAAATGAATAAGAACAACCTCTTAACAATATCATCAATTTTCAAAGCAAGCTATATAGTTTGATCTACTCACCTCTGGGAGCATGACGTCAAAAACGAAATCAAGCAGATGAATCTCGCCTCTCTTTAATTTTTTTTAGAAATGTTTGTTGCCACCTCAATGAACCGCAGGAGCTCGAACATCTATTGAAGAAAAACACCGAAAGTAAACACCTTTCAAATGTAACACCCCTGAGAGTAAAAATACTCATGATGGATGGCATTTTTACTTACGCGCTGCTCACTCCAACTTAGTGTCCTTATCTTAAGATGCTGCTTTAGTCGGAGTGAGGTGGCGGGATTCCTCCAAAGGAACATTCTGTTGGAGCGGATCTTTCCAGACAGTAGATCATCGTGTAATGTCTGAAACCAAAGAGCAAGAGACAAAAATGTAATCATCTGAAAAAGAAACGGTGGCTTTAACAACTGATAGTGCATTCAAAAGCAACCTTGATCTGTGTCTTAGAAAAGACAGCATCAATTCCTCAACTGTCAACAGCATCCTTGATCCTGCAGAGAAATAAGAAAAGAGCAAGCCCTCATTTTTTCATCCTTTGAGCCTCGTATTTTTGACTGATACTATGTTTCCTTGATAAATTATGTTATACCGAGGATGCTCAATGGAGTCCTCGCACCCGCAGTCAAACGGCTCCATTTCAATCCCAGCACAATCCTGATGCAGCCAGCCCCTGCACGTCTTGCACTGGACCCATTTTATGACGTTTACCTCAGGGTAAAGCAATCTGATCAAATGAGAGACAAACATAATATTAAACAAACACGCTGTCCAATTGATTATACCTCTGCAGCACATTTGAATGTATAAATAATTTTCCTGCATGATTCGTGCATTTAAACTATATGTAAAAGTGGTCACTTCATGGAAAATCACTGAATAGGCCCCGATAATTGCATTTATTAAATTGAGTCTGCAACACACCTCTCTCCTGTGTTGTTCGATGTCTGGTAGACACAGAATTGCATTGAATCTGCCATGCACATTCTTTGGACATCCGATACCGTCTGCGTCATGGTTTCCTTGACAAGGCAATTTGAAAAGTAACATCAATTACCAAATACATCGAGACAATGTTGATCCATACAACTGTGTGCATTTTGAAGGACTCCCACTGACATAATACTGTTTTTACAAGGCAATTTTCTAACCTCTATGTCCTGCTGCTCTGCCTTCCTCTTTAGACTGAAGACCGGAGTATGCTTTCCAGCAATGAGCTCTTGACATTCTTTGGTCCAGTGGGCGAAGATTTTCCCACAACTGTAATGACAATATATCTTTAAGTACAATATATTGATTGTCTTCCAGTTAATTAGGACATCTAGTTTACTTAAACTGTCTACCTGTTCAAAGAATTGTTCTCCAGGAGCAACAGGCACCACCATCGCCGCCAAACAGGCATGTCATGCTGAAATTGTTGTTTGTATTTCATTTTAGTGCACAATACAAAATACAATCTTGAGGATGACACTGCGCACATAAAATGATGAATGAGTAAATAAATCAAAACAACAGAAAATGTGTGTGACATGTGACATTATTCCACCTGCGGGCACGCATCAACTCAAGCAAAAAGGTGTTCGCCACAAGTAACAGCATTGGAAAGCTGTTATACACTTTTCAACTGTAATATAGAGCATGCACAAATACCTCCAAATCTCTGCCCGTTTTCTCAGTCCATTGCCCAGGACATATCTTCTGCGCAATGTTCCTGTTAATTTGAGAGCGTCACTTAGATTTCCCATGATGGAAACAATGGAATGCAGGGTTAGGGTTAGTTTGAGTGGTCGGAGGTGAGATTGAATGAATGCGGACGGCTTGCTTCTTTTCAAACTTCCTGAGAGTTCTTCTTCTTCTGTAAATTTTGCCGTCAGAAAGTGTAGGTGCATACCGCCACCTACTGTTCTGGCATCGCAAAGCAGAAGTTCAAAGTTCATGTTTTGGGTCCGCCAATCGGAGGTAATGCGGAAACTTATTGCGTTTTGTAAATGTGGTTTTTTATCTTTGGGTCCGCCATCTTGGCGCTGCATCTGGGTACTCTTGGAGACACTGGACACGAAGAGGGCACGTAAAGTGGCGTCATGTCGCAAAATCGAAAGAGAAATGCAAGCCTACATGTCAACGCATCCTTTTCTTTGTAAGAAAATATTGTTTTCTTTCCCGTTCGACACCAAATATACTTACTGAATGTGCAATTATTGTTGTTGTTACTATGAATCATCTGATGGCACAAGCCCTATGGATAAAATACAGCCTATCGCCCGAAACGATAAAAATAAAAATGGCACAATAGACATTTTCTATCGTGCCCACGATATCTATCGTCCTATCGCCCAGCACTATCTGCATGTATGTCTGATTAAAAAAAAAAAAACTTTTAATATGAAATAGAGGTCCTCTATTGGGGATCTTTATTTTCAATAACTGAAGCAGATATGCAGCCTTGGCCCACCGCCTAATATAGGCCAGTTTCCTGAAAGCTCTGTTTACATATTTGTTTGTCCTTATTAATTTGATCACTGTCCTCTACTCTCTGTAGCTCACTACATGTATATTTCATTTTTTAAATCTGTCATTTAAAATTTAAATGTCAAAGTTTTAGTCTGCACCGCACCCATAGACTGTATATAGAATGGACAGTGATTGCCTCCCTGCTGGGTGAAGCCACTCTGAGAACAGCACCCTCTGTTGATGGGCTGCAGTATAGGTCATAAGTCCTGCATACACCAGCAAAGCTTATGGGGCTGTGGACAAACTTTAAAAATTAATTACAGAGAACATACATTTTTCTCTGCCCTGCTTGTGGTGTTGACATATAGTTACAGTAAGACTGGTTTGTGCTCAAGTCCTCTTTTTTTCTGTGCAGCTCCGTTTTTAAAAGATATTAGGGGGTTCATGTTTTCTTTCAATGACACCTGATACAGCCTATTGGCATTCAGGGATTGCGTAGCTCACCCGGGCGATGCGCTGTTTGAGCCAAGCTTCATCACAGCGACTCTCGGCGACTCTCCTGCTGAATGCGCACAACGCTACTGTGCAGCGCTGGTTTCAGGAAATGAAGAAAAATCCTGGAATTACCAAGAGCTTTTTGGCTTCAAATCCATATACAGGCAGGAGGCGGAACCAAGTTGTCCATAGTATATACAGTCTATGACCGCACCCACTGCTGCGGAGTTATTGCACTTGTCATATACTGTTTTAAGTATTTTATACTACTGTTTTTGCTCTCATCTTGTTTCACTGCTCTATGGCCTTTGAGTTTTGGTCTTTAGTCAGCTGGGTTTGATAAGAAAAAACAAATCATACATTTTCTTTTGAAAACATTTATGGGTAAATTCACAAGAAAACAAGAGCGACCTGACCAACACATTAATCAGCAGTCAGAAATTGTCCAGTGTGCACACTGAATCAACTGCAGACTGTGGGGCTTGTTTTGCAGACATGATGGACAGTTGAATCTATTTATATCAAGCCAGTAACATCTTGCTTATTTATTCTTATTGGCTGGAATTTTTTATCACAGTTCGTCATCATTTAACAATTGGTAAATGTGACAAAAGGGTGGTTTTTTTCATGTAATTTTGCTTCATAAGACTTAACATGACAACTTAATCAGTAAAGCATAAAGACAGAAGACATTCAAAGACAATTAGGGTTCTGTGAAAATATCTGTAATCTTCAGAGTGTCTTGTCTGTGTAAGCAGGGAAGAGCTGGATATCGACCTAAAGGACATCTATTACAAGATTCGATGTGTGCTGATGCCAATGCCGTCACTGGGCTATAACCGGCAGGTGGTTAGAGACAACCCGGACTTCTGGGGACCACTGGCCGTTGTGCTGCTCTTCTCCATGATCTCCATCTATGGCCAGTTTAGGGTGAGCAGTTAAAAACAGCACTCAACATCCTGAAATTTAAGCATGTTACCCACTCTGCTCTGTGGTTGTCTTAAAGTGTTCCCTTGTATATGGTGTTCCCATAACTTTAAGGAACCTTTAAGGGCTTTTAAAAAGGTTCCATCCTTGCATTTTAACTGTTTTCATATCCAATACATTCAGATACATGCCATAGAAAAGACCCCAGCAGGACCATAATTTGGGACTAATTTTTAAGGTTGTTCAGTTTTAAAAGGACAAAAGGGCTGTTTGCCATTTGAACTAGATGCAGCTCAGCGTCTTCCGGGCAAAAACACGCCAACTCGTCCACTCTCCTCCAGCAGCCGCTTGTTTGTGGGGGAGCCCTGACGAGTCAATCACTGAGTGCAGCTGGTCATTTCCTTGAAGTAATAATCATCATCATAATCATTTTACACTGCAGATGCGGTAGTTCTATGTAATAGAACTATGTAATAGAGTATGAGACTAGTTTTGCTTAACATGCAGCAGTTTGCCTTCTTGTCAAGTGTCAAGTTTAACTTTTAAGGGAGAGTGGGGTAAGTTAAGCCAAAGGGTAAGTTGAGCCACCCCCTGTTGCTTGGAAATGGTAAAAGAAATTGATCATGTGATCAAATATTTAGGAGATGGGTGTCAATTCATGGAGTCTGTGAAGGTTAGAAGCACATGGGTGAAGGGGTTAGAGATTTGTTTAAAAAAAAAAAAAAAAAAATTCACTCTTGAAAGTGAATTTAGTCCGTCATAAGTTTTATTAGAATTGTGCTCAGACCAAAAAAAGATCATTTTAAATTTGTTTTATACATCAATTGTGGTATCTATGAGCTACAACATGAGGTCAAAAACCTAGCATAAAAGTCCACCATTTTAGCTTAGAGGACCAACAAAGTCATCATGGTAGTTCTGGGGTAACTTGAGCCAGTGGCTCAACAAAGAAAGTAAAGTCTGATGAGAGGATCAGAGTTTCAGTTCAGGTTGTTGAAATGTTTTACTTTTTCTTTTCAGAAATAGAGCTGTGAATGTTCTGAATCACCAAAAGGTATTCTCATGTTAAAATGTTTTTTTACAAAACAGCTTTTTAGCAGTTATATCCAATAATAATAAAAATAATTATTGTACCTGTTCAATAGCATACAATAGATAAAAATACACATGAACGTAAAGAAGTGACTGTTATTTAGGGATGTCAACTAACCCAGTATGGGGTAAGTTGACCACAGGAGACCACTTTTTTTTTGGCCTGCTATATTGTCAAGACAGTTATGTTTACACCCATTCTGTTGGTTTTCTAGGATGCACAACATCTTGAAATGTATGCAGATTCACTAGCTAGAGACAAAACTATGATCGCCTTGATGTAGTGATCTGAAATATGAAAAATTGCTCATCTTATCCCACTCTCCACTTCCAACATGTTGAAGATGAGATGATGTGCTGCTCTTCACCCCTAATCTTCTGCTGCTACCCGGCTATATCAAATCAACAAAACAAAAACTTGAACTACAATCCTTAATACCAACACTGACCGACCACAAAATCTGAAATGAAATATCTGAATGTGACAAAAGGGAATATCTTTGATGACTTGTTTAACCTGACTGTTTCTGACGCACCACAATCTTTCCTATCATTTTTAAGTCCAGCCAAGTGTTGCATTAATTGAGTGTGTTCTTCAGTATGTGTGTAGAAGAAGAAATATGTGAACATGATTTGACTTAGCACAAACAGGCCTCAGCTGACTGTGTAACAAAGAGCTAAATATAAGATAAGACAAATATGAAAAAGTCAAACCGGTAACCCAGGCTTAAAGTGACACAGATGCAGCTGCAGGTGAGAGGACACACCGTGTTCATCTGTAAATATAAAAACTATAATCACAGTCAGTCATGGGTAAATATAATATCAGTATGATGTGCGGCTTTCATAAGTCCATGTGTTATGACAGCTCCATCTGATGACAATGTGGAATATCTTCTGTATCTCAAAGGCACAAATGTTAGAGGGTTTCAGCTCTTCAGTCTTTGCAGTTGGATCATGATATACTAGGGCTGGGTGATATGGACCAAAAGTTATACCCCGAAAGTATATTATTGTACTTATTTAGCTATTTATTGCTGATCCTGCTGATCTGTGAGTACTGACAAGGGAATGTAGTTGTCTACTGGCTGCTATTAATGTCTTGCACTTGTCTGGTTTGTTTGTCTGCTGATTTGTGTGTTTGGATGGATCAAACGGCAGGGTAACTGTGAACGGAATTGACCTTAAGGGATAAATAAAGTTGTCTGAATCTGAATCTGAATATATTTAGGCTGAATATTGATATACAATATATATCTCGATATTGTTGTTGCAAAGTGAGAGAAAATGTTTAGTCACAGTCAAAGCTAAATATGACATGTCACAAGTAGTTCTATTTAAACTGACCGGATGAAATTATGCTCAGCTGTTCAAAAAACAATAAAATGTAATCATAAATACTGTATAACTGCAGGAGTACCTTTTTTTTCTAATTGTAGCTCCATAAGGTGCACATTTAAATGAAAAATATATCTTAAATAAAAATAGTCCATAAGGTAAAATGGGCAGATCTTTTTTTGAAATAAATTTATTTATATAAGAAAAGCATCAACATTTCGACGACCATAAATGGCCTATTAAAATCAAATTGCAGATTTTCTTTTTCTCTGTAACAAATCCACAAATGCAAACAACGAACACTACAAAATAATTAAATATGACAAACCCTAGTAAGGGCAGCACTTACATAAAGACCGAACAAAATAAAGTGCTCAGTTAAAGAAAATTGTTTTTAAACATCATTTTGAGATTACCTATCTGTCTTTCATATCTTCTTAACAGTCTCAACCAGTTGCACAAGACTATGACAGATTATGAACTCAGTAAACATTTTCACTCTTCAAGCTGTAGGACTAGTAGCTTATCAAAATTTGTCCAGAAGAGGAATAAGAAAAAATGCACAGTATAACAATAGTGCCTCTGGGCTTTGCATCGTGACTCTAATTAAATGGTAGCAAAAACTCCTTTCAGCCAGACATGATCAGTTGGTGGAGTGTGTGATAATGAAGAACAGAGTTTTTCCTTTGTTTATATGTGATGAAGGATTTAAAGTGGTTTCACGTTGAAGAGCACTCAATTAATGCTACCTTGTTTACATACTGAATGCACAAAAAGTCAAACTATCTTAATGTGATTGTGGTTAATTATGCTGGATGGTATGCAATTAATACAGTTTGCAGTGATGACATGAGGTTTGCCTCTGTTTCACAGGTTGTGTCTTGGATTATCACCATCTGGATATTTGGATCACTAACGATCTTCCTGCTGGCACGTGTTCTTGGGGGTGAGGTGAGTGTCTCAGACATATCTCAGTCAGAAAAAATGATAATGTGAGTGTAAACTAAAGGAGACCTGTTTGTGAGCAGTCTTTTCTTGTTCCGTTGGCCAGGTTTCCTTTGGACAGGTTCTTGGTGTGATTGGATATTCTCTCCTCCCCCTCATCGTTATCGCTCCTGTGCTCTTAGTGATTGGAGGGTTTGAGGTGGTTTCAACACTAATCAAAGTAAGAAAGAGGCTGTACATCAACAAACAATGTATTATTCTTCACATTGTGTGACAGCTATTGTGTGTGTGATAACAGTTGTAGGGAGGTTAGGTCAAAGCCAAATGACTGAGTAGTAAATTACTCGAATGACAGAAAGTAAACTGAGGTTTCTGTAAATTACCTTCAGTTGATTTTAGTGGTAAGTCTTGTCTGAGGAGGATGCCTAAGTAGGGTTTTCTGAAAAATCTGAACCTGCTGACTTTTGTACTCACCATAAACTAACACTTTTCTTGATTGTCCTGAGCTGTAAGCCGAAATCAAAATAGTCTTGCACCTGTGTTTTTCTGTGATGCCTCTTTGTATTGTAATGTATCTAAACTGTCTGCTGCCTGCTCTGTTCTTTCAGCTGTTTGGAGTCTTCTGGGCTGCTTACAGCGCTGCTTCACTGCTCGTCGGGGATGAATTTAAAACGAAGAAGCCGCTTCTCATATATCCTATATTCCTTTTGTATATTTACTTCCTGTCACTATATACTGGTGTGTGACCGCTGGTGTAGAAGCCATGGACCTTTTCATTGACAGTGACCCTGGAGTACAGGGGAAAAGGAATCAAACAATGGACCCAGGACTTTTTTAAAAGGTGTTTATTTCTTTTATAACTCTGTTCAAATGTAGATGGTGGGGATGTTGGGGATATATAACAGTGTTTATAGTTTTGTCCTTTATGTCTTTGGTCAATAAAATACTAACTGCTTTTACAGCTTAAGGCTTTCAGTATGCAGACTCGTTTACAGTTGCAATACAATTCCCCTAGTGCTGCATTTACTTGTGGATGAGGGAGCTTGAAATAATCAAAGTTATTTATTTAATGATTTCTTTGGTCTTCTCTCTACCCCTTTGAAAAATGTGTTGCCAAATATTAGAGTGTACATAATCAATGAATAACCATGCAGCACTACACAAAATGAACGAGCATTATGTCCTCCAATGTTACACATTGTAATGTACTATGAGAAGTGTCCATTGATGCTTTCAGATGTATTTATTTATGAATCGTAGCCGCAGAAGCGTGTGGACTGGGCAGAGAGAGATAAAAACCATCTTCTTCAAATGTGGTGCCTAGTTTCCCCACCTTTGTGTCCTGTTAACTTTTTCATTCAGGAGTATAACCATTGATCAGTAAATCAACACCTGTCACTTGAACAGCTGGTATTTCATGACTTATTTGTGCATTTTACAGCTATAATACAGCTTGTCACAGTAATATATTAAACAGTTTTGTAAATTACAGGCTCTGTAAGATTGGTTATAAATGTCATAAATATGATCTGTCAAATCTTACTCATTACATCAGTTAAAGCTTTTTCTGCTACATCAGAAAACTTGCTAGACCTGCCTTTCACTGTTAAAGTTATCTCCTCTAATTTGAGAAATGACATAATATCATTAAGGCACAGAAGAAGGTTTGGAGGATTTCCAGAGAAGTGGGATTCAACGCCTCATTAAAAGAGAAGTAAAAGCTTATACCTGTGATTGTATGGAATTAAGTTGAACTTGATCAAGTGAAATTCCAGATATAGCAAAAAAGCGGTCCACCTTAACCTGAATTCCTAGAACTCTTGACAAGTTCATAAAATTATCACTCTAAAGTTGATGTAGTCTAGGACAGAAAAATAGCATATGACTCCAGTTACACAAAGAAGCATGACATCTATCACATTGATCTGAAACATGAGTATATAGTTCAGAAAATCTAAATTTGGTTAGTTTGGCCCTATGCAAGACCTTGAACTGTGTTAGCTGCAGCCTGGCACAAGGCGTTCTTGAACTTGTGCTATGCACCGCTTTATCCCACCATTGATCAGTCAAATTTACCCCTAATTCATGTTCCCAAGTCATGGGTAGAGGGAAGGGAAGGACAACACGTATAAACTGAGGAGGCACCTTGTCTAATTTGAAAATAAAGAAATAAATGGGATTTGGGTAAATTAATATTAGAAGATATTCAAAGGAAAAGAAAGTGCCATCTTTATAAAGGTCTTTAAAAGATTAAATACCTTGGTTCTGCCAAAATATATAGGATGTATTAAAAGATGGGGGAAGAGATGGTTGTTCACTATAGGCATTGAAGATGAAGGTGATGTATACTCAAAATGGCAACTAAACGAGTACCAGATCTTTTAAAAAGTAGAGCACCAAAGGGTTCTTGGAAAACTTTGAAGGATTGATAGGTAGTGAATATTTAAGTAGGTTAGCAGTTGAAAATGAGATACATGACTGAGTCTCTAGCCTACACGGAAGGAGGTCAGGAGATTACAGCCAGTAAATTAATTTACGAATATGGGCTGACCAATAACAAAAAAGAAAATTTGGTAAATTAAGGCCTCCATCAGATTTAAATGTGTGCAGTAATGACTTTATATTATTCTGGGGGATTTGCCGACCTACAAAAAAGATGTAATAACTTGATCAAGAGTTTAAACATTTGCTTGGGTAAGAAAAAAAATAGAAAAGAAATATGGGCAGGACATTCATCTTCACTGCGTTGATTCTCCCAATCAGTGATAAGGGGAGAGAGCTCCATCTTTGGAAATCTGTTTTTCCAGAGGGATAATATTACATTGCCACATGTGACTTCATACTGGAGTCAATTTATGGGAAATACTGTATTGCATGAAAACAGGCCTGGCTTTTAACTAATAGATACTTGATCACAAATAACGTTAAAGAAGTCTCCTTTATACTCATTCACAAATTCTATTCAGCAAGAGATTACATTAAAAAAAGATTTTAAAAAGAAATTGAAAGGAACTGCAGTTTTGTAAGGCATGCCCTGAGACTGTTGTTCACTTATTTTGGTATTGTCCTGTTGTTAAAAGATTTTGGCAGAGCTTGTGTAATTTTGTTTCTGAGAATATTGATGTTGATTTTGTTTTACTGTGGAAGAATGTTGTGTTTGGTATCTTGAAAAAATGATAATGTACAGAAAAGAACACACATACAGTATGGATTATCAATTTTATTCTTATAATGGCCAAGTCTCATATTCATCGTTGTAAATTCACAAACAGGAAACCCCACTTTATTGCCTTTGATAATGAGATCTGACAATACATTCACTCAATCAAATATGCTGAAAAACCCAAAGCAATGAAAACTATTACTGCCTGCACTTTGTTTAATATCTTTCGATAGCTTCTATATGGTTTGCTTGTACGTGTTCTTGCGATGTTCTTTCTGATACACTTTTTTCTTTTTTTTTTTCTCTTTTCTGTTTCTACAATATGGACTTTGCATTACCTGATTACATATATATTTGTCCTTTGTAATTACAACAGATGATAATAAAGTTGTTAAAAAAAAAAAAAAAAGCTTTAGCTCTGCTGAGAGGGACACAACTGCAGCGCAAGATGGCGGACCCAAAAGATGAACTTCCGCAATGAACTTCTGCATTACCTCCGATTGGCGGACCCAAAAGAATTACCTTCCGGCGGATGGGCTTTCTCGTTGGCAGACTTCCGGCGCCGAAATATTTCGCCAAAAGTTTGTTTTTTGGTCACATCCATGCGGTACGTTTCAAACCGAATTAATTCTTCCAGCTAAATAAAGAAACAACATGTGGGAAGGTTATTCCAATGATCGATTTTTTTTGTCAGAAGGGACTTCCGGTAGTCGGATTTAGTCGCCGCAAGCTTTTTTTTTTTTTTTTCGCTCCGTTCATTCCGTAAGAATCGAATTGAATTTATTATTGAGCTAAAAATCAAAACAAAACGTTTATGTATTAATTATGACTACTGTTTTGTTCTGATTTAATTCTGAAGTTTACAGTAATATGTATATATAGACTGATGTCCTCATATTTTGATAATTTGTCAGAATAGGTAAATGTATATAGAAGTTATCATCTTACTCAAATTCTTATGTAAGAGTTTGCTACAAGTATGGACTGTTTTAACCTCTCGTTACACATCATATAAGAGTGTTTTCTAACTTCTCTCTCCAATAGCTTTATTACACAGCACATGAATGTTTCTTAACTTCTCTGTGACCTTGTTTCTCCTATTAGCAGGTGTGTGTGTGTGATGTATCCTCCACTGTGAATCTATTAGGACCTCGTTTAATGTCAACAATGTTGCCCTGACCCTCACATATTTTCTGTTGTTCATAATTATGTTTTATGAGAGTGCTTACGTTGCTGCACATATTTTTCCCCCCATCCTTTAGTAACATTGTGTAACCAGGGACATAATTTATGAAATGGTGTGCTTCCTGGTGAGCCTCTTCAGGATTGCTTGACTGTGCAAAATCCAAGTATACAATAATTGTAGAGACACAAGTCACATGATCTCTTTAAGGTTCAGAAGAGCCATATAGCAAAAACAATTGAATTGCGATATCATTACAGACTGTGTAAAGAAATGGGAAATTGTCATACAACTGCTTCAAAGATTTCTTTAATATTTTCCAAAAAAATATATAAAAATATATCCAAAAATATATAATCGTATATACATAATTTAGAGCGTTGCCGTCGGTGTGGTGGGGGGCTTAGAATATGTTGCCACAGGCCATCATCTGCTCTGCTCTGAGTAGGGTGATGCCATGCTCCTGAAGTGCTTTGATCAAAAGCTGAAAAACAGTCAAATAATGTGAACAATTGAAATTATGCAGTATGGGTTAATTGTTGTTCTTGAGCTTTCCAAATGAATAAGAACAACCTCTTAACAATATCATCAATTTTCAAAGCAAGCTATATAGTTTGATCTACTCACCTCTGGGAGCATGACATCAAAAACAAAATCAAGCAGGTGAATCTCGCCTCTTTTGATTTTTTCTGATATGGTTGTTGCCTCCTCAATAAACCGCAGGAGCTCGAACATCTATTGAAGAAAAACACAGAAAGTAAACACCTTTCAAATGTAACACCTCTGAGAGTAAAAATACTCATGATGGATGGCATTTTTACTTACGCGCTGCTCACTCCAACTTAGTGTCCTTATCTTAAGATGCTGCTTTAGCCGGAGTGAGGTGGCGGGATTCCTCCAAAGAAACATCCTGTTGGAGCGGATCTTTCCAGAGAGTAGATCATTGTGTAATGTCTGAAACCAAAGAGCAAGAGACAAAAATGTAATCATCTGAAAAAGAAACGGTGGCTTTAACAACTGATAGTGCATTCAAAAGCAACCTTGATCTGTGTCTTAGAAAAGACAGCATCAATTCCTCCACTGTCAACAGCATCCTTGATCCTGCAGAGAAATAAGAAAAAGAGCAAGCCCTCATTTTTCATCCTTTGCGCCTCGTATTTTTGACTGATACTATGTTTCCTTGATAAATTATGTTATACCGAGGATGCTCAATGGAGTCCTCGCAGCCGCAGTCAAACGGCTCCATTTCAATCCCGGCACAATCCTGATGCAGCCAGCCCCTGCACGTCTTGCACTGGACCCATTTTATCAATTTTACCTCAGGGTAAAGCAATCTGATCAAATGAGAGACAAACATAATATTAAACAAACACGCTGTCCAATTGATTATACCTCTACAGCACATTTGAATGTATAAATAATTTTCCCGCATGATTCGTGCATTTAAGCTATATGTAAAAGTGGTCACTTCATGGAAAATCACTGAATAGGCCCCGATAAATGCATTTATTAAATTGAGTCTGCAACACACCTCTCTCCTGCGATGTCTGGTAGACACAGAATTTCATGGAATCTGCCATGCACATTCTTTGGACATCCGATGCCGTCTGCGTCATGGTTTCCTTGACAAGTCAATTTGAAAAGTAACATCAATTACCAAATACATCGAGACAATGTTGATCCATACAACTGTGTGCATTTTGAAGGACTCCCACTGACATAATACTGTTTTTAGAAGGCAATTTTCTAACCTCTATGTCCTGCTGCTCTGCCTTCCTCTTTAGACTGAAGACCGGAGTATGCTTTCCAGCAATGAGCTCTTGACATTCTTTGGTCCAGTGGGTGAAGATTTTCCCACAACTGTAATGACAATATATCTTTAAGTACAATATATTGATTGTCTTCCAGTTAATTAGGGCCTCTAGTTTACTTAAACTGTCTACCTGTTCAAAGAATTGTTCTCCAGGGGCAACAGGCACCACCATCGCCGCAAAACAGGCATGTCATGCTGAAATTGTTGTTTGTATTTCATTTTAGTGCACAATACAAAATACAACCTTGAGGATGACACTGCGTGTTGAAAAGTACTTACAACTGAGTAGTCAAACTGTGACTCCATAACGATGTACATGGCAGACTTAAAAAAAAAAAAATTATGAGACAACATGTGAGATAACTTTTAAAAAGTCCATGTTGGAAAGTTATTCTAGATACAATATTTGTGCATTACAGCTCGTTATGACCTACCATCAACATGAATATGCCACAGTCTGAGCCGAAGTCCTGGCTGGGGAAGCCCTGATTTAACAAAAGCAAACGTTAATCATCTTGTCACATACACTTTGTAGGAGCCAGATTGGGGTTTTGCAGTTTATTGTTATGTATTTTTTGTGCCAGCAGATAGTGCTATTGTGCCTGTCTATTTAATGGGTGGGTTGATTAGGACAGGTGCGCACACGTGGGAAGCCGAACAGTTTTTTGACCGTGTGAAGTGGTCTTGTGTCTTTGTCTTACATAAAATGATGAATGAGTAAATAAATCAAAACAACAGAAAATATGGACGTTGTGACATGTGACATTATTCCACCTGCGGGCACGCGTCACCTCAAGCAAAAAGGTGTTCGCCACAAGTAACAGCATTGGAAAACTGTTATACACTTTTCAACTGTAATATAGAGCATGCACAAATACCTCTAAATCTCTGCCCGTTTTCTCAGTCCATTGCCCAGGACATATCTTCTGCGCAATGTTCCTGTTAATTTGAGAGTGTCACTTAGATTTCCCATGATGGAAACAATGAATTGCAGGGTTAGGGTTAGTTTGAGTGGGTCGGAGGTGAGATTGAATGAATGCGGACGGCTTGCTTCTTTTCAAACTTCCTGAAAGTTCTTCTTCTTCTGTAAATTTTGCCGCAAGAAAGTTTAGGTGCATACCGCCACCTACTGTTCTGGCATCGCAAAGCCTATCGGAGGTAATTGCGGAAGTTCATCTTTTGGGTCCGCCAATCGGAGGTAATGCGGAAGTTCATCTTTTGGGTCCGCCAATCGGAGGTAATTCTGAGTGAGTATTGCGGAAGTTCATCTTTTGGGTCTGCCATCTTGCGCTGCAGTTGGGTACTCTTGGCTCTGCTGGAGAAAGGAAAAAAGTGGGAGGGGTGGGCTGGATCAAACCATTACCGAGGCAAAGGGGGTGCTGCTAAGTTTTTGTTACGGTGATACAATTCAATAATATATTGTATATGGTTTTGGCATTTTTTCAGCTTAGACGTGGACATACTGTTAAAATGCTGCTGTTTATTGCTTAGTCTGTTCAGAGTCCTGATCCTTACAAAAATGTGGAACTTAGGAGACAAAACATTAAAGACAGTTTAACCAGACACTCCACAATCTTCATGTTGGTACAGACAGCTGGCTGCTCTCTACGAACCCAAATTACCACTTTATTCTCACAACATGAGGACTGTATTCTCCTATTATGACTTAAATACCTCTTTATTTTTGTGATAGTATGACTTTATTACAATTTTCTTCTCATGACAACGTAACTTTATCTTTTTAATATCGTGACTTAAATTTCTTACAATTTAACTCTGTAGAAAAGTGTTTTTATCGTTACTTTGTTATGGTAAGAATTTTATATACTGTGACTTTTTTCTCATAAGATTATTACTTAAGTCTTTAAAAGTCTTTAATGTGGCCCACATGCTCTGTTGTAGCTTTTTTAACTTATATAAAGGAGACAAACACAACATTTCAGTCTGAAATTTAGCTAAGAAGAACTACAGAAGACGAGAACGGCCATTAATTTTTCTTTTTTTATGCACTGTTGTTTTGTGATAAAGATTTATTTTCTCATTATCTTGATTCAACAAAGTTTGTTTTCTCATGATCTGGAATTTTTTTTCGTTATCCCGACATTACAAAGATAATTTTCTTGTGGAAAAAGAAATGGCGTTTTAGTCGACCTCAAGTAGTAGCTTTTAAAAACGCCCTCCAGATTTGCTTCGACCGACTGGTGACGGTCAGTCACTACAGGGAGAGAGGTTCACATACCGAGGATCCTTCACAACCTTATACACGTGCGCACATATACTGAGCAGCAATCTGATGCAATCAATGGCATTAACTGTATAAACTTCATCACCAGAGTCTCCCTCATTCACACACCTGTCACCTCTCATCCACACAGACACTCCTAGTACTTGAGCCAAGGACCAAAATTTCACATATCGGTACCACCTGGGTGGGCAAATTCTAGTTGTGATTTTTTTATTGCTATACATCCCTACAATAAGTTTTTATATGATAGACCTTGGTAACTGGTAGCTTTATTGTAGTTATCACTCATTAAAGTAATAGAGTGCATGTGTTGCCTTTACGGCATAGTTTACATAGTAAGTTTGTACATGCCTTTATTTTGAAATGTATTTTTTTTTTGAAATGGGTTTTCTTTACTGAGGAAGTTGCATGCATACACTTCACTTCATGTTAGTTGGAAGAAGCTAGCTGCATCAGCTCTCCTGTGTTTTCTGTGTTCATCCAAAGCCATCCACACTGTAAACGCCACAGAGGCAATGTTGTAAGTACATAATTTCATGGTTGAATATAAATAATCGTTAAAAAGAATATATTTTTATGTTAAAAAGGATTTGATTGGGTTTATTAAGATATTTCATTTGTCATGTATTTGAATTGAGAAAAGCACATTGTGGAGAGTTAAAATGGTGATTTGTTTTATATTTTTGTGTTACAGTTTTCATTCTGCTTTGTATGACGATACAAAAGAGGACTAGTAAACAGCAAAGAAAGCTCACTACGACTCGAATTAATCATTTACAGAGAAGAGTTTAACTAGTTGTATAGCTGCAGTTGCTACACTGTGGTGTGGACAACATAGTGAAAAGACATTTAAAGTCTGGTGTTGTACATCGTGGTAAGATGGACGAAACAAAACGACAAGATTTCAGTGACTAGCAGGAGTAGCAGGAGTTCGCGGTCATCTGTATCAAGTGGATCATTAATACGTGCACGTGCCAAAGCAGAAGCGGCTAAAGCACGCCTTGCATTTGCTGAACAAGAAGCTAAAGCTAAGATAGAGAGAGCAGCTAAGGAGGCTGAGCAACAGAAAGAGATAGCTGACAGAGAAGCTGAGTATCAGAAGATAAAGGCTGATAGAGACGCTGCATATCACCTTGAGAAAGTAAAAAGCGAAGCCGAGCTCGAAGAGCTTGCTTTACGCCGAGAAGCGGCAGCAGCAGAGGCTGAAGCAGCTGTGTGGGAATCAGCAGATGCCCAGGCATGTCAGTTGATGCTAGATGAGGTAGGCCCATCAGAAGAAGACAAAATGGAGCGGACAAGTGATTACATTACCTCTCACTTTGACCCACAATCACACAAAAGCTGTCCTTCATCTGACCCTCCTGATCAAGAAGCCATTAAAGCTCACTCACCAAAAAGGGGGCCCCCAGTAAATGAGACATTATTCAGCCCTCGCAATCCCTTTAATCCAGAGTATCGGACCCATGCTTTTCCAAATGAAACCTCACATGCTAATGTCACTAGCCACCCTGACAATTTTGACGATATGTATGTCCCGCCAGCGGTCAAAATGGAAAATCAGGCTTCTTACAGTGCATCTGACCAACAGAGAGATTCAAAAGTGTGTCAGTCCAACCTGAATAAGTCAGCACAGCCCTTCTACCCCAAGTCCACGACTACGGCTTCCCACAGTGCACCTGCAACTGAGCACCTGGCGCAGTACTTGGCTCGGCGCGACCTGGTGAATTCAAGTTTATATCAGTTTGATGATAAGCCTGAACACTATCGTGCTTGGCAGTCTTCATACACCAATGTCACACAAGGGCTGGGCCTCACACCTACTGAGGAGTTGGACTTGATGATAAAATGGCTTGGTAGAGAATCCAGCAACCATGTGAAACGTATACGGTCAGTGCACATAACAAACCCAGTCATAGCGCTGAAGAAGGCCTGGGATCGCCTCCAGGAATGTTATGCAGCACCTGAAATGATCGAAAGGTCTCTTTTCGACCGTCTTGACAATTTTCCTAGAGTTTCAGGAAAAGAACATGTGAAGCTACGGGAGCTAGCAGATTTGCTAATGGAAGTACAGTGTGCTAAGGAGGACGGCTACCTCCCAGCTCTCTCTTACCTGGACACCGCACGTGGTATCGAACCCATAGTTGCAAAACTGCCCTATGTGCTTCAAGAAAAATGGATTTCAGCTGGTTCAAAACATAAGGAAGAAAATAAAGGGCAATTTCCACCATTTGAATTTTTCAGCCAGTTCATAAGTTATGAGGCACGGAAGAGAAATGACCCCAGCTTTTCTATCCCAAGTACGAGCAGCTCATCCACAAAGTTCGAAAGGGTCCTCTTTAAAGGCACAAGGGACCCTATTTCGGTTCACAAGACGGATGTTGATTCTACACACACACACATGCGAACAATGTGAAAAGTGTAAGTGACCCAAACAAAAGCTGCCCAATCCACGCCAAGCCACATCCCCTCAAACGGTGCAAAGCTTTTAGAGCCAAGAACCTGGAAGAAAGAAAGACCTTCCTCAAAGAAAGAGGGATCTGCTTTAGGTGTTGTAGCTCAACTGCTCACTTTGCAAAGGAGTGTCCAAATGCAGTTAAATGTATGGAATGTGAGAGCACCTATCACGACTCTGCCATGCATCCTGGACCTGCACCCCAAGTTAAGGCTTCCTCAACTTCACACAACGGCGGGGAGGGAGAAGAGAACAGCGCTACCACAACAGTTGTTAACTCAAGCTGCACTGAGGTTTGTGGCACAGGACAAATTGGTCGATCATGCTCCAAGATTTGCTTGGCTAAAGTATACCGCAAAGGTCAACCTGACAAGTACATTAAGGCCTACGTCATTTTGGATGACCAAAGCAACAGGTCATTAGCACGGTCCGGCTTATTTGCGCTATTTAATGTGGAGTGTGAACCATACTCCTACTATTTGAAGACATGTTCTGGCACCGTCGAAGCATCTGGGCGAAGAGCTGAAGCCTTTGTTGTCGAGTCACTGGATGGAAGGGCTACAATCCCTCTCCCACCACTCATCGAGTGCAATGATATACCCAACAATCGGTCTGAAATCCCGACTCCAAATGCAGCTCGACACCATCCTCATCTCTCCAAAGTAGCAGAGCACATCCCTGATAGCGATCCAACTGCTGAGATTCTCCTCTTGCTCGGCAGAGACGTAATAAGAGTGCACAAGGTGAGGGAACAGGTCAACGGGCCCCACAATGCCCCCTTTGACCTGGACCTGGACCTGGGATGGGTGCTAGTTGGAGAAGTATGCCTGGGAAGTGCACACAAGCCGACTATCAACACCTTCAAAACAACTGTGCTTGACAATGGTCGACCCTCACTCCTCCAGCCTTGCACAAGCTTCTTGCACATCAAAGAGAAGATTGATCATGGCACAGTAGCAAGTGGTGGCACGTCAGAGGTCAGCAAACCTGCAGAAGAGATGTTAGGACAAACTGTCTATAGTCACACTGAACATGACAACAAGCTGGCATCCTCAATTGAAGACGACATCTTCTTGAAACTGATGGACAAAGAAGTCTACAGAGACGAGTCTAACAGTTGGGTTGCCCCACTCCCATTTAGGCAACCAAGGCAACGCCTACCCAACAACCGGGAACAAGCAGTCAAACGCTTCGCCTCACTCCAGTGCAGTCTAAATAAGAGACCAGAGACGCAACAGCAATACATAGCCTTCATGGGAAAAATATTGGAGAATTGTCATGCGGAGGTAGCGCCACCGTTGGGAGAGAATGAAGAATGTTGGTACTTGCCAACCTTTGGGGTTTTCCACCCACAAAAACCAGGCCAAATCAGGGTGGTATTTGACTCAAGTGCCAAACACTCTGGAGTTTCCCTCAATGATGTGCTCCTCACTGGACCCGATCTCAACAATACACTCCTCGGAGTCCTGATGCGGTTCCGGAAGGAAAAGGTCGCTATCCTGGCAGATATACAACAGATGTTTCACTGTTTCTTAGTGCGACCGGACCACAGGAACTACCTGCGATTCCTGTGGTACAAGGATAACGACGTGACAAAGGAGATCATAGACTATAGAATGAG